ACACTCACCGAAGCGAGTGCAAGGTCTTTGCGATCTGGCGGCACCCGAAACAGCCGCTGAGTTGCAACAGTTCGTGTGTGCCGTCAATTGGATGCGTGCTTCTATACCCGAGTACGCCAAGCTGGTGGCACTACTGCTGCGGTTGTTGGACGTCGCTGCCAAGTCGGCGAATGGTGCTAGACGGAAGTCGGCGTTGGCTAGGGTCCGTCTGGTCAACATCGGAGGGGCCGAAGACCATGCGTCATGTTTTGAGGCCATCAAGGATACTTTGCGCCGCACGGTCCCGTTGACCCATCCGACCCCCGACAAGGTGGTCTGCCTCAACACAGACGCCAGCGACGGGTTTTGGGGTGCTGTAGCCACTCAGATTCCCCTAGCTGATCTTGGTCTAGCAACGGCCGACCAACGCCACGAACCACTCGCATTCCTAAGTGGTGCCTTCCACGGGGCTAGCGAGCGCTGGCCCATTGCGGAGAAGGAGGCGTTTGCCATTGTCGAAGCTTGCAAGCGCCTCGAGTACTTGCTGTTGCGTCCGGGTGGTTTCCGCCTATTCACGGACCATCGGAATTTGGTGTACATGTTCCACCCTGGTGGTGGTGGTGCAAACATCGCCAAGTATCAGGCCAACAAGCTACAACGCTGGTTCATGGTAATGTCGACGTTCCCTTACGTGATCGAGCCGATCGCCGGGGACGAAAACGTTTGGGGGAACCTCCTGAGTCGGTGGGGCACGGCGAACCGCGACGTCAGCCGTTCGCGTGTCTACCGACTGGTCCAACAGGTGTCGCCGTTGCGCTCCAACAATTTTGAGTGGCCCGCCCTGGACGAGATCGTCCGCGCTCAGCGCGATTGTCTCGACTGCGATGGGTCAGCCAACATCGAAGACAAAGCCCTCGTCAAGTGGTCAGTCGACAAGAACTGTTTTGTCATGCCTTCGGTTGCCACGTGGATCCCGAGCGGCTGTGTGGACATACAGCAGCGATTGTGCGTAGTCGCTCATGCGAGAGTGGGCGGGCACCGTCGCGCTCAAGCTACCAAGCAAACCATCACGGAGCTGTTTTATTGGAAGGGTGTTGATGCCGACGTCGAGGCTTTTGTTAAGGCCTGCATGCACTGCATGGTCGTGGGTGGGGTGGTGGAGCCCCGGCCATGGGGACAGGCGCTGCACGCCGACCGACCCAACGAGCTCATTCACTTCAACTGAAATCTGGAGCCAGTCGAGGTGAACGGCTGGCGGTATCTGCTAGTTGTCAAAGACGACATGAGCGGGTATGTCCGCCTCTACCCTGGTGCTGATGCGACGGCACAGGCAACATCGACGGCATTGTTGGACAGGTTCGGACTATTTGGTGTCGTATCAACGTGGGTAAGCGATTGTGGCTCGCACTTCAAGAACCAAGTTATAGAAGAGCTGCGTTGGACGCTCGGCGCCCATCACCCCTTCGTCACCCCCCACTGTCCATGGGCGAACGGGACAGTGGAGGTGGTAAATCGACTGGTCCTACGCATGGTCCGCGCGTTGTCCAGCGAGTTGAAGTTGCGTGCGAACGAGTGGTCATGCACCGTGCCGATGGTTCAGTCTGCTTTGAACTACCAGCCGGCGAATCTTCTAGGCGGTGTGCCACCTATCACGGCGTTTCTGGCTCTGCCAGCCAGTACACCGCTGCGAGCTCTCTTTCACCCTCGGCTGAAGGAAACGGCCACGGTAGACTGGCTGGCAAAGAGCCGGCAACATTATCTACAAGCGGTGGCCATCGCCCTTGACCAGATGCACAAGGATTGCGTGTCGAAGGCTGCTACGAAACGAGAGAAGAAATGAGAGCAGCGGGCGAAAAGGCAAGGCGCCAAATGGCCAAGCCTAGCATTGGGCGACTTCGTGCTGGTAGCTCGGGTGGTTCGACACCCGAACAAATTGGCCCTCCGCTGGAAGGGTGCATGCCGTGTGGTGCGGGTCCATTCGGACCACCAGATGGATGTCCAGCAGTTGCTACCCCCGCATGCCATCAGCCTCCACCACGCCAGTCACCTCAGGCTGTACTCAGAAGCGGGTCGTGAAGTTGCCGAGGATCTTCTCGAGCAGGTTGCCTTTGGTGACAGCGGTTTCCATGTTGAAGCTCTCAAAGAGATCCGAGACAATGCCGGCCGCTTCGAAGTCCGTGTGCAGTGGCTGGGGCTGGATGAGGCCGAGGCATCCTGAGAGCCTGCAAAGACGTTGTACGAAGACGTTCCCGTGCTTTTTCGACGGTGGACGAAAGCCAACGCGAAGATGGAACTGATGTCATCATTGGTCGCCGACGTGGAACAAGCGGTGGGGCATCCTTTCTAGGAGAGCTGTGTTCCCGCGGAATTGTGATCCACGTGTATTACGGTGTCCTCGCAATGGTTGAACATCCGTGTCAGTGTGTAGTACCGTAGGCGTACAGTGCTGATACAGCGTAGGCGATGAAGTGTGCAGTCAGTACCCTAATGCCCAAATTCACTTTTACTTTTCCCTTGAAAGACAGTGAGAGTCGCCAGCGATTCACTTGCCGAGTCGGGGACCCGGAAGTGAGAACACCCGGCAATGAAGCAGGCCGCCCTCATCCCTGCTGGTCGCTCCCATCGACAGCGACAAGTTTGACGACGTTAAGCCGCCAGTGTCGCCCTCATACGAAGTAGTAGAGGGGTGGCATTACGTCCGGCCGTCGGGTGATCTTGTTTACTCTGGTTCGTTTGACGGGCCGTGGTTCGAAGCGGCATTGGACATGGAGTCATGTCGTCGGACTCTAAAAAGACTGCAATTCATTGACTTTTCATGTTGTTTTCGATCATTTTTCTGAGACTCGCGCGTAAGGTTTGAACCGTTCATAACTTTTTCGCGTTCTTTTTTGTTTTCTTTTTCGCCTTCTTTTTCGCTTTTTTTGCCCTTTTCCCCGATTTCGTCCCAGTGTTGTTGATCTGACTGCATGTCAAAAACACGAAACAGTGATAGAAAGTCGCACCTTGAACAGCAGCGCCAATTGGCCCGTGATTGGGTTCTCGGGCAGTCTCGAGCCTGGAAGAGGCAGGTTTCCGATGCACTCTGCAGTTGTCTTGTCTTCAGGGATCAGCAGCGCCCTATTTCAGCAATCTATGCACCCCACCCTTGCCAAATCATGGTGCTGCATACCGTTCGAACACTTGGTTTTGAAACGACAGATTGTGCCGCTGAAACGCTAGTCGAATCTCGTCGATCTCGCCCATTTGGCACACCCGTAGCAAACTTGTAAAGGTTTGGGCCGTTTGTGGTCGCACGGGAATCGCCTCGGTGCGGGCGGCGCCGTGCTGCGGCAACGATATGGCTTTTCTTGGCGGCGATGGCGCTGTCGCTACTCGAACCTACCGTGCAACAATAACGAGGCATCATTAACATGCCAATGGCACCGTCTGGCGTCGTTGGGCAAATGCATCATGGAAGACTCTCATTTCGGGATCCATTTTCTGCGGCGACGACTCGAGAACAACTTGGGGGGGTCTCTCCCACAGCGGCAGCAAATCGTCTTCATTGGGCGGTGGACTCCCTCCGCGCATCATATGTGCCATCGACGACATGGCGGCGTCGGCTGCCGCGTTAACACCACCATGGTTTGACCACGCCTATGGGTGTCGGCGCGATTATGTGGAGGAGGCATGGCAAGTGGATTTGCTCACGTCGCGGTCAGACTGCGGCGGTCGTCGTTTGGGGACACTTGCTGACAGATGGGTTGTGGATGATCCTGGTCGGGGTGGCGGGCTTTGTGTTGAAGACGCTAGTGACGACGAAGACGCTGAGCTAGTCGGCGAAGAAGCCGAGCTGGGTGGTGGAACTGCCACTTCCACGTCGATGTCGTCTGTGGGCCATGATTCGAGCGAACTGCGAAGCCAAAGTGTGAACATGCAAGTCTCGTTTGCGCTCCACACGTACACTAACTCACGATTCGTCGCACGGGGAGACTTCAGCAGCATCGGCTGGTGTGCGTCGAGGGGCGAGTCGGGGGAAGTCGAGAGTGACACAGGTGGCGGTCGATGGAGCTCTGACGGTGGCGTGGACGGGCGAAAAACCACAACCTTTGCCGTAGCAGTCAAGGCATCTGTAGCCCCTTTGAACGACGACGCCGGCGGTAGCGGCGATCTCAGTCGAATCGATCCAGCGATCGGCATCGCCTCAATGTGTCACCTAAGTATAGCTCAGAGCCCGCAGCGAGCGTTTTATCGGGGGCATTCGACAGCCATGAATCGAAGGATGTCTATATTAGTTACTTGGCTTTCTTTTTCTTTGCGCCCTTCTTGCCCCCTTTCTTCGCCCCCTTCTTCCCCTTCTTCTTCTTCTTCTTCCCACTGCCATCGAGATGCTGTCGCCCCCCCCACTCATGTGAGCGCCCAATTCGATCCCGACCACCAACGATCCATACCTTCATGAGCTTCAACTTGGTGGCCAGCAGCGGGTTCTCGACGAGTTTCGACCCGGCAATCGGCAAGTGCTTGGCACATTCGGTCGCGGATTTGTCCTCGGGAATCAAGATCGCCCTGCACATGGCCCGGCGACGTCAGGCACGACGACGACGATGCAGTGGGCACGGCACCGTTCAAAAACCGCAGGGTTGTACGAGAGGTTGTGGCGCTCAAAAGCCGCACGAATGTCTGCGAGCTCATCCGTCTGCTGTGCGCGAAGGGAACTCGTTCCAGCGACCATTGGACGCTTCACGTCGATGGCGCTGCTAGAATGGACGAGGCCTCTTGACGATGGTTGCAGAACGAATTGCGACGGTCCAACGAGGGTGCCTCGACTTCCACCCGTCGGCCCCCGACCCTGGTGCAGACACATGACGTTTTGTAGCTTGTTTTGGCGGCGATATGATGTACCACAACGCATTGGCGCTCCAACGACGCTTCGAAAAAGAGTTTGAGCTCGGGGTCGCCCATCGCCACCGCGTCAGGTTGCATGAAGCCACGACTATCGCCGGGTCTTTTCACCTTCTGCAAGAACCGTTTGATGTCGCCCCCGTGCGAATGGACCATTACCTGCACCCGCTTGGACGCCATGCGCTGCATTTGTGCCTGCTTGGCGTCTGGGGCGACGAGCGACGTGTACGACGCCGTAAACGGCAAATACTTGTCCTTGACATCTTTGTCCGGGGGGGCGGCATGTTCGCCCACAGTCGCCGCCGAATTGCTGCGGACAAATCTACCCGCACATATTACCTCATCCTGTTCGGCAAACGGGTTCGGGAGCTTACGATGGAGATTTTGGGTTCATCGAAGGAGGAGGGGGTGTTGCCCCTGCTGACGCCGTTGCGATAGCCGTCGGCGACGGGCGATAGTTGGGGGGAAGGGGGTTCCGGAAGCGCATGCCCGTGGCAGAAGGCTTCTTCTTGATTACCACGGGGGCGACAGAATGTTTGGTTTGACATTTCGTCGCAGAAGATGCTGACGGGTCGAGGGAGTACTCGTCTTGGTTGGTGCCGTTGTCAGCAAGAGTCACGTGGAGGGGCAAGTTCGGGTGCTGCTTATGCGCCATCATGCGGGTGGACTCCTGGGGTGGTGCCGTGAGTTCGCCGCGAGTCGACGCCACGACAGGGTGACCTGCTTTCGAAGGAACTCTGCTTCTTCACGACTGCGGTTGCGGGACCACTTGTGCAGCACCGTCTCGACTTCGTCTACCTCCCGCCAGTCAACTCTTGTGGGCTGACCGGACGTACCATGCTTGACTTTCGTCGCGGCATCTTCTTGACGTTGCAGCAACCAGAGCTGGTTGAGCTCGTGCTGGGCGCATGTCAGGTGTGGTAGGTTGGGGGCTGGACGATCGACAAATCAACCAACCTCTGCGTCCGTTTCCGGAGTGTGGTATTGGTACTGCGCATGCACACGGCGATCCGCTGGGTGGGTCGGGCGCACGGCCTCGACTTGATTGCTGTCGCCATCAGAAGAAATGTCGAGCTAACGGCGGCGACTTCGTCAGGGGCAGGCTTTGCCGAGGCAGGACACGGCGGCTAACCTCCCGGGGAGACGCGACGGTGAACCCTCGTTCTCGCAGCTCTGCAATGCGGTGGATATGGCTTGTGCGAAGGTCTCGCGTCTTGAATCGCTGATAGAAGCAATGGTCAGTCCAAGGTGGCGCGAGAGCGCCGTCCCACCTCGAGCTGCTCCGGAACGGATGGCTGGGACAACGGTGGCCTGACCATGTCGACAGGATGGCTGTCGCTGCCTTGATTCCTCGGAGGTGGCTACATGGACCAGGGTAACGAGCGCGCGCTTCAACCACGACGATGTGGTCGAACCTTGGTCGGTGAAACGTGCGCCAGCGACGTCGCCACGTCCGCCTACATCGACCATCAATCCCCCTCTCTCGTACAAACCAACGATGTTGGACTACTTCCAAGTAGGCGCGGCCAGAGTCTTCGAACCAGTCGAGAACTTTGCGGACGCAGTCGGCGTGGATTGCTGTATTCTAGAATGGGACGAGTCACTCTGGATGAGGCTCTTGCACTAGAACGTTAGAAGGCAGACCTTGACGCGGTCGCATTCAGCCAACATGTTGCGCAAGGCCATATACCGCACCGCTGTCCACTTGCTCCGCATATCGCTCTCGACAAACGTGGCATGGTCGTACGCCAGCACGTACTTGGCGATGCTTTCGAACCCGTGCAGGTCTGGGATCGGCGGCAGTTCGTCTTCTTGCACGACAATATCTAAGCGACACTCGTGTGAACAGCCCGTCGCCGTGTCATGGGCAAAACACAACACCATGCATGGCGAGCGCATGCAACGCCGACGGCTGCAGCGACCGCGTTGTCGATACTCTACAACGCCCGGTGTCACAACATCCATCCTGCTAAGTTGAGGCGTACATGAGACCGTCGATGCGGCTGCCCACCACTGCGCTCATCTCGCGCCGCTCCCTTCAATGGAACGTTTCGTGTCCGTGCTAATAATAACTGTGTAACCGTCCACCGTTTCACATGCCGCATATATTGACACGCAAGGATTACTCGGCGACATGATCGAGGAAGATGTCCATGTCGTCCGTCTCGATGGAAAAGGCGCTGCTTGTGTGCTGGAGGGTGTACTTGAGCCTTTGGCCCGCTAACTGGACGTTGGCACGTTTTCGGCCCTCCTTTTCGAAGTTCTTGACGGCGCGCGCCGTGGCTTTTTTCACGCGGAATTCACGTTGCCGCCGTCCGTCCACGGCAGGAAGTGGGTCCATCGGCCCCGTGCTGCTGGGGGACGGGTCGGCAACATCCACACGAGTCCGCTGTCTCTCCATATCCCGACTGGGCCGGCCAGTCATCGTGGGGGTTCGCTTTATTGTCGACGGGGCGAGTCCGTCTCGCCGCCTCAACATTGCTGCCTCGCTGGCCCCTTGGCGGTTGTACAGCTCGAGTCCTGTTTCGGCCACGCGTTCGAAGTCTACTCGACGTGGGTTTACACTCCTTTGGTCGAGCAGGATGGACTCGACACACCGAGGAGCATGGTGCGAACGCGGTGGAGCGTCGTGAGGTGGATGGGGCGCTTGCCACGGTGGTTGGCCGCCAACACACTTCGCCAACGTGCAATGTGCACCGGCGAAATCGCCGACGCCGCGGTGGGAATTTCCTTCAGGGGTAAATCCAGCAGCGCTTGAATCGTTTCGACGTGGTTTCGTCGGGCGGCCCTAAGGAAGCGGCGGTCGAGATGTTTCGATGGCGAGCGATTCAACCGACCAGTGGACAGGGTTGTCGCCGTAATTGTCGAGGATGTTGCAGGGGAGGCCGTATTCGAGCAAGACCCGCACCTGCACGCACGGATGAGTTCAAATTCACGAGACAAGACGCCTCACCACGTTCGCGCGCCCAGCTCGCGCGGCGTCATGGAGGAGCGAGAACCGATTGTTCACGCAGTCGATTTGACCCAAGTTTGACCCTTTGTCGACGAAGTACCGCACCAAGTGCTGCACACAGAAATGGTTTTGGTGGAAGGAAAGAGCGACTGCGATAACCACTTACCACATGACCCGACCAACACGCGAGCTGGAGCAACGTCCGGCCGTTCTCTGCTTGCGAATCACGCAGCCGAAACGCGCCATTGCCATGTTGAGCTGCCGTTTTCGTCTCGGCGATCGCCAGTTGGTTGATCTTTTCGACCGGCCATCCTGCACATTCGACGACGGAAGATGTCGCAATGGCCTGTGGGCTCAAAGTACCTTCCACTACAGCTTCCCAAATTGATAGTTTTCTTGCATATCGATCGAGGCGGTGCTTTTCTTGGGCGCTGCGAAGGGCCATGCGCTCGACGGCCTGCGCGCGGACAGCGTCCTTCTCTGCTTGAGCAGCAGCAGCTTCGTCGGCTTCACGCAGCCGAAGGCCATCCACCCAACACTGTCGCAACTCTGCCAAGGTCAGGGGGGTATTGGCTAACCGCTTCCTTTTCACGGGACTGCGGCTATCACATGAGGAATCCTCGAGTTGCAACGGTGCTGCGGGGTTGCGACTTGCAGCATCCTCGCGAGTACTTCGAACATTGGCAGCACCTGTGTTGTCCACGCAGGTGCTCTTTGCATCGATCTCAAGCAACGTTTCGTACGAGGCAACCGATGCCAGCAATGATACAACAGAGTCGTGCCACTCGGTAAATGTCCGTGTCGGTGGGATCTCGGTCAAGTCGGCATGGTTTTGAAAGGCGGCGGCGCCAAGGACTTTGCGAAGATGGCCCTCGACGCGCACATGTGCCTTGTGAAGCGCACCGTGGTCGTGAGAAGGGACCTTCCATCTCGCGAAGCGATGCCGCGCCTGGTTCACGCGAAACACGTCCAGTGCCAGGAACGAGTCGTCGTGCGACGTAATTGTGTGCTGCAGTTGCACACACCCAATTCTCACTTGACTCAGTGTCGCATTCAAGTCTTCGCTGTGAAGATGCAGCAGCGACGCAGGATCGTCTACGACGGCCTTGGCGGCTTCGAACGTGCCCTTTATCTGCGTCCAAGACTCGAGAAATTCGGCGTGCAAGAGTGCCAATGGAGCGGCTAGATCTGTGTCGTCCGCGGTGGGGGTGATGCGGCGGCTGGATATCGCAAGCGACAAGTCGTCCAGTAGAACGCACACGTGGCGGCATTTTCTGACGTACGCTTCGTGCAATATAGCTGGAACGTCCACCGCGTTTTCGCCTGGGTGGCGCCCTTGTGCCGACAGTGGTGCAGTCTGTCGGAGTGCTTGGACACAACGTCTGGCGCGTTGTGAGCGCGCGGCGCATTGAATGACGAGGGCGGCAGCATGAAAACGATCGCGAATCTTGGCTTTCGACACGAACCGAGGCTTTACAGTTGTGGATTCGCCGGTCGTCGCGTTCGTGTAGTAATGCGAGGTTGAGCGTGGGTCATACTGTTGGAGCCAAATCACGTCACTTGTAGACTTGATGGTCGGAACGCTGCACGGGTCGTCTGTGGCCTTGCCGTCAAAGCTCTGACACTTTACCAGTGGTACAGGGCTCACTGAATTGCTCGGTTGGTTGTAGCTTGTGCTATTTGCGCGAATGCCTCCATGCGGCCTCGGTGGAACGGTGAGTTCGGTGGTTGAAATGCTGTCAACAACCTGCACGGCACCTTCAGCTGGTGGCGCAAACAGCCCGTTTTCTTCATCGTCCTCAAAGGAAATGGCGTACAGCGACTCGTCTATGCGAATATGTCCTCAGTTACGAGACTGCCGCCATCCTGCCGCCGTACCATCCTCGTCGGCCATGTTGCAACGAAACCTGAAACGCTTGCTACATTATCCGTAGGTTTATCCGTATGACCGGAAGACTCGAAGTGCCGTTGCACCAACACCCGACAAGCGACCTGGGACCAGCGTGCCGCTCCAGCGAGACTTCCGTCGCTGCCCTAGACATGACCACCCGTCCTATGCGCTTAGTAGACTCCTCGTCAATGTGGGAATGGGCAGCATCCCAGCCAGGTACGTCATCAATTTCGCTTGGGTCATGGGAGGCAACTGCAATCGAGACGTACTCTAGGCTTTGTGGCCGCGCAGTTGGCCCATCCATCTTTCCTCACTCCTCTCGAAAGATGGTACTTTGAAGCAAGGACGATTGCATCGCAGTCGTCTTGCTGCTCGTCCATTTCCCCAGCCAGCACCGATGACTTGGACATCGACTGCTTTGACATGCACTACGCTCAGAACCTGTCCGCTGTCGACAAGCACGCGCAAAGAGCTATCTATGGACGACACAGGAATCGATCGGCACCCGTCGACGAGTGTTTTTGGTTCAAAACGATGTGCAAGGGCCAAGTGCGGCACGTGTCTTGCAGCCGATCGAGCGATGAAACGTTAGTGGCAAGCGACATCCGCCTGGACCCAAGCAAGTGCAACGACATTGCCACCTTGCTCCACGGTCCGTTCAGTGCGCTGCTCGTGCATATTTGGAAACCAGAGAGCCATCGCGGCACGACGCAGACGACACAATAAGTCCATTTTTCAGTTGGTTCATTACGTTGTCTACCATCTCCGTAAGGACGTCCGCAGGGTCGAAGCGCCGGCCGCAGCAGGGTTGAATGCTCACTCAACGCGAGGTTGTTTAAGCGGTCAACAAGCACGCACCACCAACAGCCTTAATCTTGTTTTCAGCTTCTTGGGAGAAGTACTTGGCCTTGACGATCACGGGGACGGCAGGGAGACGACCCTTTCCGAGGACCTTGAAGTAGCCAGCCTTGGTCACATCAATGATGGGGGCCTTGCCGTCCTTGGCCTTTTCGGCGGTCTCCTTGACTTGCGCCGACACCAACGACCACAGCTTTTCCACGTTTACGGTGGGGCAGTGGTATCTGTTGCGGAGCAAGTGGAATTGGCGCATACCAACCTTACCGAAGTAACCTGGATGGAACTTGTCGAAGAGGATGCGGTGGTGATGTTGACCACCGGCGTTACCGCGACCACCCGGATGCTTGCGGTGCTTGCCGATACGACCGTGACCGGCCGACACGTGACCACGCTTCTTACGGTTCTTGTGGGTGGCGGTAGGCTACACACAGACTCTTGTCAGGTCGTCCCGATGACGACGCCGCATCCTTACCATGTTGGTAGATGGAACTGAAAAACAACACTAACAGCATTGGCTCGAAGCCCACCACGACGCCACCAGCCAACCGTTCCACCAATCACAGGTGGACTCTCAAACTTAATACTCCTCCGCCCCCTGTGGACGCCACCATACAAAAGGGCGGAAATACCCTTGTCTTTCGATAGCTTGTCCAATTCGATATATGTATTGAAACAGGGCCTTCCTTCCGGGATACGTTGGAGGAAGGTGCCCATTCAAGAAAGTGGGGGGCATACTTTTCCGAATGGGACAGCGAAAGGTAACAAAACGCACGGGAAAGATCGCACCCGATGAAGACGCTGGCGGAACCGTTCCTCCTTGTGACTGAAGGCACGTCGACACCATCCCCGCCGCCATCCAGTAGCAAGCGATTCCTTGTGTGCATGGGATGCGGCTTGGCCCTCTTCCTTGCCTCGTTTCTCATGTACGTACATGTGTTGCACAGTTCTTGTTCTGCGATTGGTGTCGTCATGTGCAATCTCTCCGACCGACGAGCGCCAAAACGACTGTCACAACGTGCTTATGGCGGGTACTTGATGCAGGTTTCCGTTCTCGATGGCTGCGTTTGGCTTGCTATACTCGACAGGGTCCATTGTCTTCATGGGATCGACGTTGTTTGTCGCGCCGATCAAGCAGCAACTTGACACCCTGCGTGCAAACTCGAACCGAGCGACGTGCTTGGCCATGTACCTGTGCTCCATCATGCTCACGCTCTTCTTTGCACTGTATCCCGGCCTGTGGTTTCGATCCATGCTCGTCCTTCTGTCGGTGTGCATGCAATGCGCAACGTTGGCATGGTATTGCATCAGTTACTTTCCGCGCGTCCAAGCAGGGCTTCGCGCCGCGAGTATGTACGTTTTGGTACCATAAAGGACACATTTATACAAATCCTTGCATTATGGAGCAACGCCGGAATCACTTGGAGCGAGCGACGAGAGCGCCTGCGGGGACGTCAGGGACAGCACACATCGTGGAGGTCTACCGCTTCGATCGCATCGAACTCTACGACGAGTTCGTCCAGTTGCGCTTGATTCAGCTCCAACGTCACCTGCATGTGCATGCAAGATGCGAGATGGTGTCTCGTTCGCGTTCAATGTACCTCTCTGTCGCCGGACAAGTGCAGCTTCAGCAACAGCGTTGGGTGGACTTCGCCGTGAAGGGTGCTACTCGACAGAACCAACTGCACACGTGCGTGCCAAAATGAGCGTATATGGCGAAGATGATGCGCAAGCATAACTTCATGACGTACTCGAGCGGAGTAGTCGAAGTCCAACAATTGCGCCTTGGAGATCGACGCTAGGTAACGAACAATGTATCTCTGGATGTCGGGCGTCCGTGCGTCAACAATATCGCGGACCGAATCAGCCATCTCATGGGGAATTCCATACTGTGTCACGAATGCCGCAAACTACATGAGAATGGTCGGCACCGACACGGTCGAGGTATGAAAGACCATGAGGAAAACATCGCACCTTGTCTTTTGACGTGGCGAGGGCTTCCACGAAGAATCGACTCCATTTGTCCGATGGAGGAGCTTCTCCCCTTCCCAGCATATCAGCAGCAGCATGCAGGGTATCTTCCAGGCGCTCCGCCGACAGCGACGATCGCCGGTTCATGGTGATGTATCTTTTTGAATGTGAACATGGTAGTCGCAGTTATATTGTGAATATTTTGTATTTTGTATATATTTTTGAATATACTGTGTCATTTGCTGCCTCATGACGGTGGCTCAAGTGGCTGCGGCAGCCATTGTGTCACGAGGATGGGTGTCCTTGATGGCGATGTTCAGCCACGCGTTCATCACACCGTACGACACGTCTGCGATTGCGCATTCCAAGTCCATTTTCAGCGCATTTGCCGCATGGGACGGCGTGTACTTCGTTGGCATCGCCGACCAAGGGTACCGCTATGAGAACACCCATGCGTTCTTTCCACTGTTTCCGCTGTTGGTGCGTTGGACAAGGTCAGTGGCGTGCCATCGATCACGGCCGGTCAACACAACTCTAACGATAGCCCTCTCATGCTGCCATTTCTCGACAAGAACGCATCGCTCTTGGCCGCGGGGTGGCTCATCAGGTACACACGCTTTGGACCTTGAGCTCTTTTGTCAACGTGGACGGTGGCTGCACATTCGTTTAGCAATGCCTCGTTTGTGGTTGCTGCAGTGTTTTTGTACCTGCTCGGACTGGAGGTGAGGACGGCATGTGGTTATGAGTCGTCGTTGAACTGTCATCCAGGTGCTCAAGACCGAGTCGGTGGCGAAGCGTGCAGCGCTCTTGTTCTGCATTTGCCCGTCGGGCATCTTCATGTCTGCTTGCTACAGCGAAAGGTTAGACCCTCTGCGCATACCCATGCACTGTACACACGTTGTCGCAGTTTGATGTGCGCGCTCACGTTCAGCGGGATGTACTTGCTCGAGCGTTCGCGGACCGCTCGTCGTGCGTCTGGCCCCATGTTTCTCATTTTCTCGGCGCTTTTATTTGGACTGTCGTCGGCCACCCGCTCCAACGGCATTCTGCATTCTCGTACGACCGACCATCGTTCTCGACTGCGTCACCGACGATTCTGTGGCAGTCTACATTGCGTACTACCAGGTTCTGGCGTCCCCGCATCCCGTCCGTGCTTTTCCGCAGTTTGTGGCCCACTGGACATTCACGGCCAGTCTTGGCGCCATCGCCATTGGGTTCCAAGTCGCGTACTTTCTGCACGGCATCGCCGCGTACTGCGCTTCCTACGCCTCAGCCATGCAGGTCGTTCGGTGCGTCCAGACCGGTCGAAGAAAGCGCTTTCGTAAACGCAGCTGCTGCTCCTGGTAGATCGGTCTTCCACATCGCCCCGTCCGCGCTGGCCGCAGACCGCCCGTGGTGCAGTCAAGTCGTTCCCAACTTTACGGCCATGTACATGTTTATCCAGCGCGAATACTGGGGAGTGGCGCCATTCGCGTACTACGAGCTCAAGCAGGTACGACGCCAGCATTCGACCGACCCACTCGCCATTCCATCCTCTCGACACAGATCCCAAACTTCCTCCTGGCGGCGCCCATGCTTGCTTTGGCAGGTTACACCAGCTACATCGGGTGCATCGTCCGCCCGCCGCCCCCGTTCGAGTCGACGCGACCGTATTTTGTTCACGTGGCATTTCTCTTGGTCAATGTGCTGGTTGTTGTCCATATTCAAGTCGTGACGAGGTTCCTCGCCGCGTCGCCGCCGATCTTTTGGGCCGCGTCGTACCTGACATCACCCGACGCCAAGCGGCAGTCCCGCGTTCACCCCGTCGTGACGCATGGCGTCGTCCTCTACTTCCTCGTGTTCAATGTCGTTGGGGCGACGCTGTTTCCGACATTTTATCCGTGGACGTAAACCGTGAATGGATCTTCGGGACGACCCACACCCGACGTTGTTAGCACCAGCGAGCAGCCTCGCTTTCATCGCTCGCCCATGCCCAGCGACGTTGGCAGAGAGCGCTGCTTGTCAACATCGATGGCACCGCCGTGACCTGTTGTCCTGTCGACGCAATCGAGGCAGTTGCCGACGCAGGACGTGTAAAAGATCGACCACTCCGAACGCGATGTCGACGTGCTCGAGAACGAGTCGCCGAGAGGGCGGCTTTTTCAACATCGTTCCAATAAATAGGGGATGGATTCACAACTCAACAGAGAGACACTACACCTAATTGTGCCACATGTGCATCAACGGCGATGCTTGGCCAATGTAAGACTTGGATGCGAGCGCTTTCTTGGCTGCAATTGCGTGGGAAAGCGGCGACGATGGGCCCGACACGACCTTCTTCGGGGCGGCGGGCGGACGAGCGTGTTGTTCGGCCTTTTGGTCGGCGAGGACGCATGCACGGCAGAGGTTCTCCGGCTCATGGAGGGGACGGCCCCGCCGTTTGTACACTTGCAGGTTGCATGCGCCACACACCATGTCGGTGCACCCCGCGCATTCGTATCGAATCGCGCCGAGTGTGTCGTGGCAGCACGCGCAGAAGTCATCGCACGGCGCCATGGGATTCGACAAGTGGCCAACGCCCAGCGACAAGTTGAGGAGTCGCTCGTCCGAGTCGAGGTCGTCCGTGCCACTGTCGCTGCCGCACGAGTCGTTGCTACTGATGCAGCTGGGCGGGCCGTTGGCGGCGACGTCGGGAGATACGGCTGTGCCTTGTTTGAAGTACATGGCGTCGGAAATCGCGTCGACAATGGACGTGGCGCGGGCGCGCCGCCGTGGGGTATCTGTCGAGCCGAACGAGGTCGAAGGCGTCGGCGGGGACTGTTGATGCGCCGGCATCGACGCTGGGTCCTTGTGGACGCACGCCATGCAGATGCGTACCGACGACACACGCGGTTCGTTTTCTGCCGACACCGCCGGAAGCACGATGTCCACTTTGGGGGCGCATGTATCACATGCGACTTCGCCGCAGAGACGGCAGTGGTGGCGGCGTTTGTTGACGCGGAACTTGGTCACGCAAATGTGGCAAGTCTGCCGGACACCGTCGCTAACCCACGCCGACGGCTCGGAACGCTCGCGGAACGACCGACTCACGCGGCGAGACACGACGATGTCTTCGAGCTTAAGCACGCCTAAAGCGAGGCGCTGGTAGCGAGACCGGCGCGGCAAGTTGATGAGGCCTGCTTCCACGAACGACATGGCGCACTGAACATCGACGCCGGTGCCGTCAGGTGACTCGCGGGCCATGAAGCCACGGGGAGCGATCGGCTTGTCTTTGTTCGCGTCCAACGGTTCAGGCAGGCTTTGGATGACGCGAACGTGCATGTCGGTCATGTCGCGCTGCTTCATCCAGTCTGGCGAGATCACGGTCGAAAAGTCAACGAACGACGCTTGGAACCGCGATTTGAGCATGTTGTTTTGGTCCGCGACCATTGTCTTCACGCTCAGGGACGACCCTGAGTCGGTGGTTGTCCGAGCAATCTCGTCGTACTCGACGACTTTGCTGCCAAAGAAGAACTGGGCTGTGTCCTGCATGTTGCTCTCGTGTCCGTCCATCAGGATCGGAAGCACTTCACAGAGCTGGGCGGCAGGGATGTGCATCGCGGCTCGGACCACATAGAGCGTCGAGTCGTTTCCTTTCGACCGCAAAACGCGCTCGTCGAGCTGGAGTCGTAGCCGGCCCGACGCGGGATGCACCTGCTGGGACACAAGGGTGTACTCGGACGCGTCTCCAAAGCAGAAGAGCGCCAACGACGACCTCGCGTCCGCTTCGAACTCATCCACGACCGACGCCGTCATCGTTCCTGAGTACTTTTTCGTAAATGGCACAGTGACCGCGTCGCGACACGTGGGTGGGATAGCCATGTGGCGACAATTTTATTCCGTCCATCCGAAACGTATACAAAATTCAAGTGTCTTGGACAAGTGGACAATAAAACTACTTCTTGAACTTGCCCACGTGGGAATCCATGGACTCAGATGAGCCGCTCCAAGTGCAATTTCGTGCGTTCGCCAGAACATGAGTACCCTGTCGACAAAACCAGAGGCGAACTTAGAGGACCTGGCACATAAAGCACCAATTGAGTCTATTTTGTAATCAGGATCCTTCCAAAATGCGAGTTCGACCAAGTCCGCTTCCTCTTTTGTCGGTGATGACGACAACTGCCCCACTTGGAGGCCGAATACGTACTCCCATTCTAGCGAGAGGACCCGACCAGTAACTCTGTCGCGGGCCATGGCACAGGCCGCCGCGCGAGGGCGGCATCCATCACCGGATCAACGGGGACATTGGCGGTGGCGCTGGCCGCGAACTATGCCTTTGACCACCCGCCGGCAGCGACCGCGGCGCAGCACCAGCTGCTGTTGGACACAGGTCACACTAAAACAGTAGGCGAAGGTGGCGGACCAGCGACAACTGGACAGACATGACGGCGGCGGCGTTCCAAGTTTTGGCAATTTCTCAACGTTTTTCGGGAGCGACCAGTTACGGTCCGCCCACAGTGCCGTCACTATGCTCCCGCAATGTCTGGAGCCCCGTGCCCGTCGGGTTTGTGTCGTCGAGCGTGGGGGGGGGGTGCTGGGCTTGGCGGACAATGCAAGGGGCAACCGTACAACTTCAACATCACCAGAGGGGGTGCAGGTGAGACGTGGGTCGACGAATCGTCCCACGAACGTCTGAGAAGCTTCTGCCCCCACACCCACCACGACACGTCAACTTTCTGCTCCACGCGGAGAGTACTGTTCCCAACGCTGCTACGCCTCTGTCTTGGGCAGTCCACGGAGGAGCGGCACGTCCTTCGCGTCGCCCGTAGTCCTCGATGCAGGGCCATGCTGTCGAAACGGCGACAGGGGACATCCGGTTCACTCCGGATAAGTCATGTGTATACGTGAAGTGTGTCCAAATGATTCCGATGTTGTCTCCAATACCTGCCCGCCTGTCCCGGCCACCGCTCAAGATGGTGGCGGTCAGGATCATCGTCAGCTCAGTTGAGCCGCGCGACTGGAAATTCACATGGCTCGCTAGTAGGAATGCAGGTGCATCTCTGATTTGCACCGTGGACAGGACACCTTGGCTGGATTTGTGAGGGGGGCACTGCGTGCACAGCGACGCCACCGAGGGGGCCTCGCAGGACGTCGTTGCAGCGCAGCGTGTGGGTCATGAGTTGCTGGCCGTTGGAGGTATTACCGTGTCAGGCGAAGGCCCCCAGCAAGCCACATTTTCTGCACTTCTTTCCGCGCGCCCCGATCCGCTGTGGGGTTCGTTTCCACAGCTCGATGCCGGCGGTACCACGAGTCGCGTTGCAGGCCGCAGCACTCTTGTCCATCGGGCAATGCCGCCCATGCATTCTCGATGGTGCAGACTGCTTGGTCGAGGTCATCCACGCTGGAGCAGTTTGCCAGCAACGCGTCGGCCGTCGACGCACTTTGCCGTGCTAGGTGCCTCAACACGGTGTGGAGGAGGCGCGCCACGTGCGCTTTTTCGACGCGGTGGAAGTTCCATGAGGGAAAGGCCCGCGCGAGGTCCAAGTATTCACGGGTGAGTCGAAACGGACTCAGGCGTGCCGGGCCATGGAAGAAGGCTGGGTTTTCTAGCAATGCTTCGGCAGACATGATCCCTTTAGCACCCGTGGCCGCTGCACACGCTGCCACGTCAGCAAAGAACTCGATGCCTCCGTTCGCAATGACAGGTATCGACACACGTTGCTGAATTGCGGCGATGGAGGTCCAGTCAGCGGGCCCAGTTTTCCGCCCCGTCATGACCCGGTTCCTGCCATGCACCGTGATGGCCGCAGCGCCTGCAGCTTCGATTTGATCCACGAGGCGCAAGGTGGCTTGAAGGCCCCGCTCCTGTGGGTCTTTGCTTCCTTCGTCCACGATGCGGATTTTGCACGTGAAAGGAATCGACAAGTTGTCTTTCCAGTTGCGAAGAATGCGCAAGATAGAATCGGTATCCCGCAGGAGAAACGACCCGTAATGCCCTTTGCGAGCAATGGGCTGGGGGCAGCCCAGATTGAGGTCCACGGCGGTTGCGCGGTCTTGCACGAGCAGCGCCGCGTCCAACAGGGCTTGCGGTTCATCACCAGCGAATTGAACAACGACAGGATATGTGGTTGATTCAAGCAGGTCTTGGTCCAGTCGTTGAGCGCGGTAGGTCGCGTCGGAGAGGAACACTTTTGCATGCAGCATTGGACTGTAGCAGAGTTGCGTGCCATATCGCCGACACAACGTTCGAAAGGCAAACTCGGACTGGTCCACCATGGGCGAACCCACGTACAGCGGGGTCTGCGAGCTTGCCGGCCACCACGAGTCCATCGTCGCGCTGTGTGCAGCAGCCGACCACCCACTTGCCGCCGGTGCGGTGGTAGTGCGGCATGGACAAATGCCATTGGCTGGCTTCGTAAGCCAATCAAATTCAACGGCTATTTTTAGACTTCGCGGCGCCCGGCAGAAAGGCGGCATGGCGTCCGACAACGAACTCCGCGATCTGGCCAAGTGGAAGCGACGCGTTGAAGAAAACAAGTACATTAGAGAGAACTTGCTCGGCCAGGCCAACATGCTGTCGTACACGATGCAGCGCTTGAGTGCGAGACATCGCGGCCTCGGCATGGTCGACCTGTACACGATTTGGTGAGAAGTCGGTGCTGTGTTGCTTCGTCTAACGTCGCGACTTCGTGGGACCAGGAGATTGCTAGGCCAAGGGTATTCAATCGACGAGCGCGATGATAATGTACGGATGGATCCAATATGGGTGGCTGACTGCTGCTGCTGTGCTAGGGTGTTCCACCTTTGGTGCATTGCGCAGTTGTAGGCATCGCCGTGCACCGACGAAAGTAACGTGATACATGTACTAGCGAGGGTGGATGGGAGTCATTCTTTTGTTCAGCCAGCACACGTACAACGTTGACGTTACGTCCACGGTGCGTCTGCGACCAAGGGATGGGCTGTGCAATTGATGTTTCCTGTTGTAGTTCCAAGAAACGGCAGTCAGCGCGGCATGTCGCCGTGGCCACTTGAGTATTGTGCGCTACTTAATTCACAGAGGGGCCGACTTGAGCGTGTGTGATAAAGTGCGTCGCGCTTGTCATTGCGGGGCGAGAGACCCCACGCCGTGGTTGCATGGTAGAGTGGCTTTTCGTGCCTTCGTTGGGCGGCAAAACATCGCAACAAACCGCTCGTTCGGCTGCTCTTGCAACGTGGAGTGTCTGTGCGAAAGGTCCGCCTCATATGGAGCTGAGTTCCGTGCAAAGCTAAGTTTGTGACGAGTTGGCGACCTCTAGGATTGTAGTTCTAGCTACCATTCGGCGTTGGACTGGGCTCGAGAAAACCACGATGAAGACATTGAAGGCATGCTGATGGCCGTTCTAAGTTGATGATATTTCTGCATCTACTCTTGACAAAACGCGTAGTTGAGGAGAAACGAAACCAGAGGACCAAGTTGCAGCAAGCTGCTGCGGGAAATGAGACTGGAATTCCTGCGCGCGCAGCGACAGCAGTCGTTGTGAAGACATCCCAAGACATCAAGGAAGAACAGCGCCAAGAACGCGTCGATCAGGCCGCTCGAGATCGCGACACTGCATTCAGGGAGCGTGTGGACGTGTTGTACAACAAGCAAACTGTGCAGGATATCAAGCGTTTTCGCCCCATGGAGGAGTCCGAGTCCCCAGTTCCAATGGCTGAAACCGAGTGGCGCAAGAAGAAAGCCATGACGTGGGAGCGTGTGGCAGTCCCCCCCAAACCGCAAGAGCCAGCCAGTCCGCATGTGGACATGAACAGGATTCGACAGCTTATCGCGATCGACGGTGTCGAGGATGGCGGCATGCTCGACATAGACGCAATGGCAATGTTTGCTCAAAAAGCCAAGCCGAAGCCAGCGTCACTGCAGTTTTATTGCCCCGATTTTGAATGAATCCGACGTCCGCCCGACCTCAGTTTGACGAAGTCAGGCGGGCGGTGGCAATTCAAACTCTTTATCAAAACACGGCGGTGGCAGACGCCAAGTGGATGCATTGGGTTGGCAAAGATGTGAGACCACCCATTGGTTCAAGTCCTCAGACGATGCTGCGAACGAATGGCGTGGCATGTCCTCGCCAGCCACGACCTCTTGTGCTTGGTCGGGCGGTATCCTGCTAGTTGACCTAGGCAACTAGTTGCGGATGCACATCACTGAGAGCTCGATCCAACGCATCATAGCCCTCTCGTTGTCATGAAAAATATACATGTGCGCTTGGATTTCGACTCCAAGGCCAGCGCTTCACATTGCAACATCTGCGCCTCGGCGACTTGATTCCACAACGCTTGCCCTGCACTGGGCGACTGCCCTCGGCGGTCGGGCACCCCACCTGCAGTCGACGTCCGTGTCTTTGTACTGCGCAGCCCGCCTTGGCCACTTGGACATTGTGCGTGCTTTGCACCGCCGCGATGTAACGAGTACGACACATGCCATGAACAGTGCACCAAGACACGACCATGTGAACACAGTTCAATTTTAGCACCAGCATCGCCACGAGGGGTGCACGACAGATACAATCCTGAGCACGGCACGGCCGAACACCTCGAAATCTTTCAGCTTCACCACCTAGAAAGTGCAACATCGAACGCCACGGACCTCGCGGTAGCCGCGGGACATCTTGATGTAGTCGGCCATCGACACGGCCGCCAAGAACGGTGTACATTGGACGCGATGGATTCGGCGGCGTTGCGTTGTGTGGCCACGTGGATATCGAAACAGGTTTCAACACGCCCCGGACCGACAGCTGCACGCCCAACGCGATGCGGCCGCCAGCAATGGACACATTGGTGTTGCCCAGCATTTGCACTGGCGGCGCAAAGCGAAGGTTTTGTGTGTGGTCATAGCGCTCGACTGGGCGGTGGACAATGGGCACTTGAACTGTGTGAAATTTCTGCATCACCTTCGTCAAGACAGGTGCACGTGGTGATGGACTCTGCTGTGCGAAATGGGCAAATGAAAGTGGAGCAACGTCGAAATGACCATCGCCCGGAAGGATGCTTGATCCTCAGAATGGGCAATGCGGTGGCGAGAAGACATTTGGATATTATGACGGATTTGCACACCAAACGTAGCGACGGCGATCCACAATGGCAGCCTTGGCGGCGACTTGTACGTGGTGGAATTCCTTCACAGCAATCGAACGGTAGGATGCCGCAAGAAGGCTGTGCACAGCTCGAAAAAAGCTGTGTGCGACTATATCCTCGCCCACAACTCTGTAGTGCCGGAGACCGAAAGCCACCGCTCGAGCGACAATGACGACGGCATCTCATCAGGGTTTGAAGACGAGTGCAGCGTGGAAGGTGAGGGTAAAGCTGCCTGTTGTGCAGTCGGTGATCCCCGCATGTGGAGCAATTTCTAGCTGCGTTGGTTGGATCGCTGAACGCGGGACAGGGACAGCAAAGCCCCTTCGAAGTTCGACGCCATCTGCGAATGTAAGTGTCCAACCGTGCGTTCAAACGGCAGGTTGGAGCCATTTTCAAATTCTCTCGATGGCGTGGCAGTGCAGCGCGGCAAGCCATCGCGGGCTTGTCGACAACCTCGTCCAAGCCGGGCTATTCCAATCATCGAAAGCAGTTGCTGCCATGATGCAGACCGATCGAGGCAACTACTGCCCCATGTACCCCTACACGGACGCCCCCCAGCCCATCGGGTGGGGGCAAACCATCTCGGCCCCGCACATTCACGCCGGCGCGTTGGAACAAGCGAGCCAACACCTTCGAGACGGGTCACGCGTTTTGGATGTCGGATGTGGCTCGGGGTACCTGAGTGCGTGCTTCGCCCGACTGGTTGCCCCCACTGGGAAAGTGGTGGGAATTGACAACGTTCATGAACTTGTCGAGCTAGCAGAGGCCAACGCTCGCCGGGGTGACTGGGACTTGCTCGATAAGGGCATCCTATCGTTCCGTCGGGGGGACGGATGGCTAGGGGCGCCGAACGACGGCCCGTTTGACTGGATTTACGTCGGTGCTGCCGCCCCACAGGTGCCCCCTGCTTTGCTCGCGCAGTTGGCGGACAAGGGCAGTTTGCTGATTCCCGTGGGCATTCCAGGGGATGCCCAAACGCTGGTTCAAATTACGCGCGACGGTCTCCACTTTCACAAGACCCACTTGGCCATCGTCCAATTTGTTCCCCTCGTCCACTCGACTGGCCCGTGAATTAAAAATAACGTCGATACCTTTTTCCATTACTGGAGAACATGGCAGCAAGCTCGCCCCGCCGCACCGTGTGCATCCGTCATTTCGCGTCTGGACAGTGCCACTGGGCTACCATCTCCCCTGACATCACGTTTGTGGAGCTCCAATCTTTGGTAGCATTCATGTTTCAGCTGCACAGCCTCGCTACGGCGTCGACGTGCCACATCGAGTACACGGATGTGGATGGGGATGTTGTGCGCATCGCCAACGACATGGAGCTGCACGAAGCGCTGGCCCACCTCCCTCACCAAGCGTGCGAATTGGTTGTCAAGGCACCGTTGGTGTTGTCGTTGGGCCAGTTGGCGTTGATGACGTGGCAAGCGTTCGTGCCAGCACTGCAACACGTGTTCCATGCGGCCGAAGCGGCGACGCTGGCATTTCTCGACCAAGACGGCATGGAGTCGCCGGTGCTTCGTCCTCGCCGAGCGCAACGGCCTCCGCAGCTTCAGCCCGACTCGGACACCGAGCCAGAAACGGACGATGACGACTGAACGAGAAACGAGACAGCTCCATGGCAACCATGGTTAGCAAAATATACTTCTAAATAATCTATGTATCAAAGTGGAGGAGGCGGCAGCTCCATGTTGAGAGGGCCATTCCCTGCAACAACGCGAGCCTAATGGTGGTGGCTGCTGGCAAGGTCGCCGCTGCTGCTCTTTGGCACCACTTGCTGGAGCCATATGCGCGTCTTGTAGATCGCAAACAGGTCGCGCACGAGCTCGCGGAAATCGATCCGCCTGCCGCATCCCATCAGCCTCTGGGAAACAGATAGCAGGACGGGCCAGCACTTACCTTTCGGCTTCAAAGTAAAACGTGAGCTTGTGGCGGTCAAATTGGTACTCGGCGTCAATCACATTCATGGGCAGCATCCGCTGGCGCACTTTGGTCCGGCACACGTGCAGCACCTCCTGCTCTTCCTTGTGCTGCAGGATCGCCCCATGAGGTTTAACATTTCATGGCGACATCGTACCTGCTGCCGGAGGAGGTCGCATTCCGCTTCGCTCGCCAGGCGCATGATGCGCTTCACGCCCATCGCCGTGTGCGTCAAGTCGACCTTCTTCTTGATCGAATGGTCGAATGACACCACGCCAAGCACATGGCCAACGTCCTCGCCGCGATCTCCTTCGACTTTGACGTAGTCACCAACGTTATAGCCACGAATGCCCGCAAAAAAGTCCTTTCGAGACCGCTTAAACTGCACTTCGTACGTCGTGTCGAGGGCGCCGAGGTCCAGCGGCAGTGGCGGCGCCGTCGACATCGGCTGGAATGCCATCAGTTGGGATGGACCACCAGAGAAGTCCTCCTCACGCACACACGTTGCGCGAGGCTGCCATTCGTACCCAGACGGTTTTAGCGGTGGCTGTTGGTTCAGCGATGGCTGTCGCGGCGGCGGCAGTGGCCGAGGCAATGGACTCTTGGTCACGGAACCATGGCGCAGATGACGAGAATCGGTCGCAGGATGCAACGAAGGAGATTGGCACGAACCAATGCTGTACGATCGAATGCCACGCGGGGGTGCTTGCACGTGGGTATCACGGGAAGAAGGCAGTCCATACGTGTTGGTGTTGAGGTCTTCCGAGTACCGTCGAAGGTGCATCATGGGCTGTTGGTCAAGTGATTGGAGGCGGCGAGATGCCAATTGGGACGAGCGCGGGAGCACGGCGGACGAACCAGGTTGTATCGAGTCATGAGACTGCATCGTGGAGATGGAATTCGCACGCAAGCGGTGGTCGTGAGGTAGAGGTCGGGTGCTGTCGTCGTGGTCATCCAGTAGGGGCACACCCAGAGGACTGAGAGGCTGGGTATGGCGACCTCCGCCGTAGTGCTCGTCGTCAACGTTATTGTCAGGAGGCATCGAGAGCTGCCAAGTTGCCCACGATGCAGACGCGCTACCAGGGGAAGGAAGGGACGCCAGTGGAGACATCGCCAAGACCAATGGGGAGCCGACTCGGCGAGAGGGGGATGCCGTGGAGATTGGAAGGGGTTTCACCCCTTCGTTGGACGCTGTCGACGTAGTAGAATCGTCACTAGGGTCATCAAGGGACAGCACCAGCATACTCGAGCTGAGGAAGGCGTTCCATTCTTGATGAGACTTCACGCGGAACGGGTTGTCAACGTCGTGAGTTTCTTGATTTGACGAAGTGTCGGACCGTGCAGCAAGAAGGTGTTCGTCCGAGATTGGGAGAAGGGCCTGAACGTTCATGGCAGGTCAACACGTCGTTGTGGCGTCACAGAGATCACGAGGGGGTGGCGGCGGCGGGCGACCGGCGCAAGCACTCGACGAAGCTGTCCCTCGGGGAGAAAAGCTTTTCCAACTGATGCACGTCGGCAAGGCCGAATTTATTAAATTCTGTTCTGGTCTAATACCATTTTAAGGTAATTAAATAACCAAGGTTTAATGCGAACGGCTCCATCCAAACTTGGATTCATTATACTATATAAAAATCTAGATGTTTCTCTTGCCCAGCTTCAACTCCCCGTCGAGCATTGGAATTCGCGTGGCAAGTGTTCGAGGTGTCGGCCTCGACGGCCGCCACACAGTTGAAGAACGCTTACGTGATTGCGCCTTGAACAAGGGGCGCAGGGTCGACACCGCGTAGCCAGCAGCCCTGGGTTGCTGGAAGAAGACGATCCGCCCTGTTTGGCGTGGTTGAGCGAGCAACTTGTCCAAACGACGGGAACCTGTATGAATGAATATGAACCTGTCAGAATGAATAAATGGTGGATCCACTTGTGAAACGCCCGGCCGGCGCCGCGCTGCCGCCACGACGTTCGTCGTGCGAGGGCTACAGCAACGACAAGACGCAGCAAGAGGCGGAATCGTGTCAAGTAGACCTATTTGACACGTTTCCGCCTCTTTCTGCGTCTGTGCGGACTGGTTGGCCTGCTGTGCTGGATTGGCATATCAGGAGGAGGTCAGGTTGTGCACGACGGACGCGATGCAATGACGTCGTGCTGTGGAGCAGTTACACGCCACCGCACACTCGCGGTGAAAATGGGCAGTGGATGCAGCAAGCGGGTGGATAAGCAAGTGGCCGACTGGACGTCTACCAATGTATGCGATTACGTGGAACAGTCCTCTATATCGAGCGACGCGAAAGCCGCCATCGTGGCGTGGGTGACGGATCACGGTACTCTTTGTCTTGACCGTTCGTCTTGAAGTGTTGATTCATGCACAGCGATGACTGCCCCGCAACTCTTGGACATGGAGACGAGCATGGTGTTGGCGCAGTTGAAGCTTCCTGCCAGCGACGCGTCCCACGTGGCAACGTTTCTGTCGGATCTGAGGGCGTTGGCCGCCGCTGAATGCACATCCGCAGTGATCCACACGACACTCCAAGGCCTCCCCGCAGCACTTGAAAAGGCCGTGTACGTGTACGAGAAGTACCCCCTCATCATCGACGAGACCGGCCAAGCAGCGCAGTTTTTCAAGTACCAGCGCGGGTGCTTCCTCCTGGCTGGCAACCCCGCTGACGTTACGGCAGCCATCTTGCGACGGTCTCTCGTTGGTGCGGGCTACCCGTCAACCCTCATTTGCTCACGACGTATAATCTAAACTGGTCGTAGCGGCGTTGCGTCTCGGTACCGTCATGACGATCTGCTTTGACAGGATCGCTGGCCTCGAACTCGATCAGTTTTATTCCGACACGTGGTTTCCATCGCAAGTATTGGATCGGCAAGAATTTTTCAAGGCGGAGGTGTGGGCGCAATTGCTGCGGCAGGTACATTGCTGCTCCTTTGATTCAAGACGTGCTGGACTGCGCATGCAGAGCGAAGGAGACCCGGAAGCGTCGTTGTTCTTGCCGTCCGATTCGTTCAAACTTGTCGTGCTGTGTGGAAATATTCCGCCACCTCCGCGAACACTCGAGCGCATGTGCTTGGTCCGGGTGCAGGCGCTCGACGCGAACACCACCATCCAAGACGATGGTGGCGACGTGGCGGCCGCACTGGGCCTCAAAGAAGTAGGCCATGCCCCTTCCCAGGACAAGGTGGCAGGGTTCATCTTGGATGCGAATGCACCCTCCATCTAGGTGAAGCGCAATAGCACCGATGTCGTCGAGGCTGGATTTGACGGGGACGTGGCAACGATGACGGCCCTGGTGGAAAAAGGATTCCACATTGAGAGCGAAGACGGCCACCGCCACACCGCACTCTCGGAAGCGGCGTGCCAAGGCCACCTCGAGATGCTTCAATACTTGCTATCGTTGGTAGAGCTCGAGCGAAGCACGTTGGCCCGATCCAACAACTCCTTGCAGGGCGCCAACCCAAACTGCGTCAACGACACGGGTCGTTCGCCGCTGTACCGGGCGAGCTACAATGGACATGTGGACAGTGTGATGCTCTTACTGCGGGCAGGAGCCGACCCCCGCATCTGTACAAAGGAAGGGTAGGCGACTACTCGTCGCACTCGGGAGCTGCCTGGGCTGCGGCGTGTTTTAGAGAAAAGCCTTTCGACGTCGCCAAAGGCAAAGAGACAGCCGACGCGTTGAGCGCATGGCCGGTCGAAACAACCGAACGACTTCTCGCCGAACGCCGCGAGGTAGATGCCATACGAGAGAGATGCTGGCGCACGGCATCGATTTGTTCCGGTAGATCATGGACAAGAGGCTGCAAGAGCGGCTGACGAGCCACGTTGCCAGAGAACACGTGGCAAAGATGCGCATCCGCGACGACTTGATCAAGCTGGCCAGCTCGACCGCAAGCACGGCTGCCGACCAGCTCAAGGACATGCTGATGGGTCTTGCCGCCGACGCGGTGGCCAACTCAGACAAACCTCGAGGTGTGGCCCATCGAACGCGCGGCGCTGATGGCCTCTGGCGGCAGGGACGGCCAACTCCCGCGACGACCGAGGGTGCACGCTGCTTGCAATCGCCGCTCAATGCGACAATGCGGACGTAGCGACCCTCCTGCTTACCCATTGGAAGGTACGGCAGCTGCTGCAGCACCGTCATGGGCTCGTTCTTACTTGCTTGCCAAAGCAATTCCAAGACGATGCCCATCCCGTCGTGCGCAAAGCTCGGTACGCCAAAGACGTGTACATTGACGTGTTCCGCGCCCAAGTGAACGCGCGAGACATGAAGGGATGGACTCCCATTGCTATCGCGGTATTCCATCACGCGAAAAAGACGGCTCGGCTACTGTTGCAGCACGGCGCCAACCCCCGCTTGAAAAACCAAGTACGGGACGACGCACGTGTATAACGGCATGATCGACCATTGAGCAGTACAACAAGAACGCCATCGACTTTGCCCAGGACGAGCTCGACGCAGCGCGGAACATTGTCACGTCGCGAGCCGAGGTAATCATGGCGGCGATGGCTGTGGAGTTTCGACGATGGTGCGTGCTAGATCCGTTCGGTTCTGGACGAGTGGGAGTCGGCGCAGCTTGAGAGCACGTTGGAAAACCATCGCAACAAGTTTGCGGTCGGAGCGGCCGAACCATTGCCGTCGGATGGCGGCGCGACGTTGTTGGCGATCGAAGTCGCCATGGAAGCGCAGCACAACGCCGCCAAGAAGAAATCGAATCGGAAAAAGGCGATCAAGACCAAACATGCCAAATAGAGCAAGTGGATTCCGACACATTCTCGTCATGGCACTGCTGTGCCGGCGTGGGGATCGCGTCGTCGACAAGTTGAAGCTTGAGAGGACTAGCACGGATGCCCGGTTCCTTCAATCGAGAGTCTGGCGCGCCGAGTGGGTGATACCTCTGCGCGAATCTCACGCTTGGGCAAGTGATAACATTGCCTCACGCCAACCAGCCGTCGTCCGTGTATTCGGCCACGAGTTGATAGGCGCCGTGGCGACCGAGCCACTCCCGCCCCCTCGGCCGTTCTATGTCTATGTGGACCGAGTCAAAGCAGTACAATCGCCGCCGCGTTTTCAAAGACAAGGGAGGGCTTTCGGATGGTGCAGTAACCCCACGTCCACGAGCACATGGCTGCGGCGAGATGCGTGTTGCGCACGAGCTCAAGGTCCAGCATGCGGCCGGCGAGACATTCCCCTTGGTATGGCTGACCCAACTTGTGGAAATCAGCAGGCGCGCCACCGTATCGGGCAACGTGGCAGAGTTGCCAGTGGCCCGAGAAATTCGTCAAACAGCGTCGCGAGCATGGACTCGAACTCGGCACCTGCGGGGCGTGAGGACGGAAAACTTGACGCCATGCAGTTGCGATGAGTTCTCGGAGGAGCTGCTAGGGGATGTGGTGGCTCAGCGAAAGGCGGTGGCCTTGCCGTACTAGGCCAAAGATCTGCAAGTGGCTGGCCTTCACGTTCATGCCGATCGCTGAGGGTATCGTGCCGTTGGCCGACCACGGCCGTGCCAGTGCCGCGCTTCGAGGACCTTGATACAGCCTTCTGCCTTGCCAACACAACCTTTTTCGTCGCCACACCCCAGTGGGTCGACGCAACGTCCGCGCGACTACGACTTGTGGTGCTGCGACTGCGGGGCGAAGTGTATGGTGTGCCGTTGTTTGTTGGGGGAGATGCTCGTCGATCCATGCATCGTTTCTGGCACGACATGCACGTCACAATCCTTGGCACACGACTTGAACGAGCGTTGGAAAAATCCCGGAGCGGCACGAAAATGGATGGCTGGCACAAGTCGTTCACTCCCATCGGTTCGGACGCGCTTTCGATTAGTCTAGCGCAAGGCGTCGCGACACCCTCGAACGGCACATACAGGTCAGGGGTACCAAGTCTGGCTCGAGGGCCATCGAATGGAGCTGCATGCAACTCGTGCAGGCCATGCAGCATAACGGGGCATATACACGTCGGAGGAGGCCCTCAGGAGGTCAACATGTCCCCCCACCACGAGCTCTGCGCTGTCCCGCCGCCTCCTCCCCCGTCGCGGTAGTGTACAACGAACCTGTCAAGCGATTCTGAACCATCGATTCCAACTCTTCCAACTCGACCGCAGCATTGCTACGGTGGTCGCAACGATGGACAACTTTACTATCGAACACAAAACCCTGAACGCACCTATGCCACGTGCACGGTCAGAGTGCGCGCATCGGACACGCTGGTCGTCGTGGAGGGAAACTCGACAAAGTCCATGTCGTTGCCCGCATGGTGGAGCAGGTTGACGGCGAGGGCCATGGGATTGTTGTCGTCCTTTCGGGCGCGAAATAGCTTTTTTCGAAGCCCCTTGGGCTTGACATGCCCTTGCCCGAGTTTTCGGCAAGCGCACATGGCATTCACGTCGCCGAGGATGGACGTGCCTGCGTACGCGCCACTTCCGTCGCCCATGGTGCTGCCGCCGGCTGCCGTCGTCGAGTCTTCGATCGGCTCATTCAATTCGAGCTGGTACGTGTCGAACGTGTACAAGGTCGTGGTCGAGTTTTCAAACGGCACGTTGTGCTTGACGTGATGCAAACACCCCGCGTCCATGAGAGAGTTGCCGAACCGAATGGCTTCCTCCACCTCGAACGCATACCCGTGTTGGATGAGGCATTGCACGAGGGCTGCCCCCGAGAACGTCGACGTGGCGGACGCTCCTTTCTTGGACTTTACAGTCGACAAATACGGCACCGCGCCGGACAGCTCGTGCGACACTTGGCCACACAAGTCGTCGTGCATGTCTTCGAGCACGGCAACGACCATCTTGGCCGACGGACGGAAGACAGGATCGGCGTTCCAGCAGTTCTCGAGCAAGTCGTGGAGCGTCTGCGGGATCTCGGGGTCGATTGGGGGCCGCTGGCCGTCCACTACCATGCGAAAGATGTTGAAGTGGTTGTGGTTGCTGCTCGGGTACTTTTCTTGGCCGGGGTGGAGGATGTCCCACATCGTGATGGCCAGGCTGTAGATGTCCGCCGTCTCGGTGTACAGCGCTTTCCCCTGTTTGCCGTCAATGACTTCGGGGGCCATGTAGTCGACAGTGCCTCGGACCGTCATAGACCGGTCGTCGTTGGCGATGTCTTCGATCGTAAACGCCATGCTGCGCGCCTCGCCAAAGTCTGTGAGCTTGATGACGTTGCTCGCGTCCAGGAGGAAGTTGGCCGGCTTGATGTCGCGATGGATGAATGGCGGCGAGAAGCTGTGCAGGAACGCGACGGCACGGGCCGCGTCGAGCATGTAGCACAGCTTGGGCCAGAGCGGCTCGACGTAATCGGCTTGCGGTTTCTGCAGCGCGTCGTCGAGGCTGCCCCGGCACAGTTCGTAGATTAAGCAGATGGACGGTGGGCAAATGCACATGCCGTGGAAGAACACGATGTTGGGGTGCTTGAGCGCCGCGCACAGTGCCGCTTCCTGGGAGAACTCCAAGATCGTGGTCTCGGAGATCTCGGTCGGCGAGTACACCTTGACAGCGACTTGCTTGGTCGAGTGGAGGACGCCGCGGTACACGTCCGCCGACGCGCCCGACGCCATTCGCTGCTGAATGTTCAAATGGGAAAAGTCCACGACGTCCTTTCGGTGCATTTCCAACAGGACGTGGAGTCCCTGGGCCGACACAATCTCCTGCATCCCTTGGTTCTCGCGAAAGAGCTGCTGAAAGCCACACGCGCGGTCGCTGAGGCCGCGCCAGTGCTGAGTGTCTGCTTTCAGGAGGCGCCAGACAAAGAACGGCCCGAACGTGGCCCACACAACAGCGCAGAAGACCAGCATCATCCCGTTGTGGTAGTCCTTGTCGTAAAACAAAAACGAGTACACGTACACGATGACGTAGTACACGAGCGCAAACACGCACAGCTCTTGCTGCGTCCGGACGCTGGCGCGGGGCAACGGGCGGAAGATGAGGTAGACAAAGCCCCCCATGAGGATTGTCCGGTACGACGCCACAAGGACGAGTTGGACGACCGCGTCTTGGTTCGTCACGTCGAGCGCGTGCACGACGACGACGGGACCGGTCGCCATGACGAGCGCAATCAAGATAGACCGAACAAGCGCCGGCTGGGACACACTGCGCTGGCACAGGAACGCCACGATCAAGTACAAGATGAACTGCCGCCCCTGGACGAGCAACTCCCCAAACCAGCGACTCGTGATGGGCTTGGTGTAGCTGAGAGCCGACGCGACGAGGAAGTACGTTGTGTAGATGCCCGTAGAACACGCGATGACCCAAAAGAGCGGCTCAAACGATGGCAAGATGACTTTGTGGGTGGCGACGACGTCTCCGTTGAAGGCGGACGTTCGGCTTCGACGGAGGTAGATGATGAGCGCGACTGTGAGGAAGAACATGACCGCGTACGTCATCGTGTACACCGTCTGGAGGATTTGGTACTGCTGGTACAGAAAGAGCTGTTGCTGCATGACGTCTTGCTGCTCGGGGGTCATCGGCGGCCTCCCACCCGGGGGCTTGGTGACGTTGGCGGCGGCGGTAGCAGTGGTTGTGTTCGTCATGTCCATGGTGGCCGCGTGCTGCCGGTGAAGATGGCGAGTGAGCCAAACCAGGAACCATTGTCATGTCCCATCGATCTGATGCGAGAACGATGCATTCGGGCCAGACAAAGATCTCGATCGAGCGGAGCGATCGGGACAGGCGAGATGCAAACATGGGGAACATCAAAAATGCACTTATTGCCACGTGTGTGTGAACCCCATAAGGTTTGTTTTGAATAATGCGTCGTTGCATTCGCACTTTCCTGGAACACGACAGCGCCGCGATCTCCGTCGGCGGCGGCACAGCAGGCTCCAAAATCGAGAATCCCGTGCCATCACGTCTCGTTCGAGAACATCTCTGGACGTGCAGCAGGGCGGCGTGGTCGGCAGCTCGTTCCACTCGTCACCTTCTTCGGCGCGCTACCTCCACTATTGAGAGCGTTCGTCCATTCATCAATTGCACCGACCCTTTCACCAGACACTCGAACTTGCGAACGGCACACTCCATCTCACGTAGAGTCACAAAGGGCCACAGCGCGAACGCGGCTCGAATGACCAGAGTTGTCCCAGGTAACAACAGCGAGCGACAGGCGACGGCAGAATTCTGGCCGCAGTCGTTTGTGATGAAGTCATGCCCACCATAGCCACGGCGATGCGCGGATCGAGCCATGACGTGCTTTGTGTTCGCTCCTGCGTTGAGACGAAGCGTGCGCTTCTCTTGCTTAGCGGGGCTCCACCAACACGAAATAAATAAAAATTACACATCGCTACAAACCGTCGTCGGCATTGGGGTCGGTGTGCACGTCATGCTCGTGGAGTAACTCGACCGTGAATAGGTTTTCTTCATGAGCTCGCTTCTTGTGAAAGTCGCGGACTAGGGAATTGCGGCGTCGCCGACGGCGCATGCCCTGAGCGTGCTGCTTGCACATACACAGCATGCGAGACCCGCCGCGGCTACAGCTGCTCTGCGGCTCCGTCGACTTGGACGAACTCGACGTGGTGCTCATGCAGGCCACGGCACTGGACGTCTCCCAGATGTACTCGCCGTCGTAGATGAACGCGGCGGCGTGGTGGATGTCGTGGAGGAAGCCCGTTTCCAAGAGCGCATTGCCGATGCGGAGGGCCTCTCGCCCGTCGATCGCAACGTCCAGTTGCAGCATATCTTGGACGAGGCTGGCGCCACGAATGGCCATCGTGCCACCATTTCCTCCACCTTTGCTTGAACGAGCGTGACCATTCGTGCACTGGGTTAGCAATTGAGCGATCACACAGCACTCGTCTTCGAGCAAATTCTCCACGCTGTCGACGATGTCGAGGGCGGACGGGCGGACGTCCGGGTCGGCGTGCCATGCCCGTTCTAGTACGTCCTGTAGTGCCGCCGACATATCCGACCGAATCGTCGGTCGGGCGCCACTGAGCACGAGCCGGAACAAGTGCATGTGGTTCTTCCGGCCGCCTCCGGGATACTTGGTCCCATCGGGATGACTGATATCCCAGAACGTCATGGCCAAGCTGTACACGTCGGCGCGCGTGTTGTACGTGGCATGGCCTTGCTTGCCATCGATAACTTCCGGCGCCATGTACTCGACCGTGCCGCGGACTGTCATCCGCCGCATGTGATCTTGTTTTTCTGCCAGACGCGACTCGCCAAAGTCAGATAGCTTGACTCGGTTGTTGACACCGTCGAGGAGGAAATTGGAAGGCTTGATGTCTCGGTGCAGCAGGGACGGCGTAAAGCTGTGCAGGTAGGCGACGGCTCGCGCGGCATCGAGCATGTAGCAGAGCTGCGCGACAGGGTGAAGGCCCCCGACCTTGCTGGACGCTGCCGCCGCGAGGTGGTCGGCCAGCGACCCATTGCACAACTCTGAAACGAGGCAAATTGTCGGCGGCGACACGCACAGGCCATAGAACGACGTGACATTTGGGTGGTCGAGAATCGCCCACACCGCCGCCTCTTGCGAAAACGCTTCGACCGTCGCCTCGGAAATCTCTGGCGGCGAGAATACTTTGATCGCGACGGGTTCGGTCGCGTGGAGTGTGCCTTGGTACACGACGGCGCTGGCGCCACGGCCGATTTTCGTCGCAAAATTGAGATGGGCAAAATCGAGAAGGTCGTGTCGGTGCATCTCCAGGAGCACGTGCAGGCCTTTCGACGACAACACTTCCTGGATGGATTGCTGGCACCCGCCGATGAGCATGCGATGGCCGAGACCTCGCCAGTACTGCGTGTCTGCTTTCAGCAGCCGCCACTCGAAGACGGGAGACAGCGCCATCCACGCGTTGGACGCCATCAGCAAGTAAACTGCAGTGGCAGTATCGTCTTCAAAGGACAACTGCGTCGACACAACCAAGAGGGTGTAGTAGATCAGAGCAAACGCACTGAATTCGCGAATGCCGCTGGCGGAGGCCCTGTCCACGGGCCAAACGAGTTGATGGAGGAAGAAGGTACCGAAAACGACGCGCACGGCCGTGCAGCTGATGCACCTCGCGAGATGGACATGCTGGGAAACGACAAACACACCGACAAAACCTGTGAGGAGGATGGGCACGATAGCTGCCGTCACGGTGAGGATGGCCGTGCGGACGATGGCAGGTCGGGACAAACTCTTCTGATGTAGGAAGAGGCCGACAAAGATGACGCTAATCTGTTGGCCTTGGGAGACTGATTCGCACGCGGTGGGGAACGCTTGCAGCGGCCAGTCGATCGCCACGACCACGACACACACGACAAAGAACACGAGGGAGAGCGTGAAGAAAGCCCAGAGCATGGGTTCAAAGGGAGGGAGGATCACCTCCAGCGCTGCTCGTGCATTCCCTTCAAGTGCAGTCGAACGCTGCTTCCGAAGATACCAGATGAGAGCAGACCAGACGACCGCCGTCGTGCCGAATCCGACCATGTATGCCACCGGCAGGAACGCAAACGCGGTACCATCCCTCCTCGGGGGCTCGTGCGAGATCCCTGACGGCGCCTCGTTCATGCCAGGAGCGAACTGAGGGATGCCGTCGCTCCGCGGTTGCCAGAACACGCCGCCCCGACCACGATAGTTTTCGAAAGTTGAAGGTCGCCCAGAGTGACACTGTGGCAATCAAGTCGGACGACGACAACCAAAGGTTGCATGATATCCTTCACTACGACCAGACTTTCAGGCGACTTCCGTGGACAAGGAACAAGCCCCACTCATTCCATTGAATCCCTCTCTCAGTGGTGTTCCATGGCATGGCAGTCGACCATAAATGCTGCTGTGCACGCATGTGCCCAGCGCGGGACTGGAAATGCGAGGACGAGACGACGGACGGCAGTTGCTTCTCCGATAAAATCCGATCCGCGCAAAGAAGGAGCAGCAAGGATCGCTGTATGGAGCTCGGAGGATGACCACTTCGGCATCCCTCCAAGGCACCGTGGAATGGTGGCGTAGCAATATCTGCACCATGGCCACAAGAGGTGCATGCATCGATGACGACTTGTACACGCTAGAGTTTTGGCGAGACCGAGCAAAAGAACTTTCGCCAACCAGACTGCTTGGCCCAGTGCGAGGTGGTCGTTCTCTGGGTCGTTTTCTCATCCGAGCTTCGAGTGATGTCTACTTGCTGCTGTGAAAGCTAGTGGTGTATCGAGGAGCGTAACGACCGTGGGCTTGACTACTTTGTCAAATTTTGCGTCCCTCTAAGATCGCACGAGGGTAAAAATAGATGCGGGTGGGTCGAGGACGAGATGGAATTCAAATACGCCTGTACCATACAAATCGTAAGTGTATAGAATAGAAATGTCAAATTCAACTTGGGCGGGTTGAGTGATGGACGAATGCGATGCGGCTGAGCCATGAGGAGAGCAGTCGAGGATAGCCAATCAGAGCACGAAATATCTTTAGACCACCAATGAAATCGCTGGATCTCAGGAATCCAGGCACCTGATTGGTCCATCTGTTCTTCCCTAAAAATAGAAACCACCATCGCACGCTACCATTTTGAATGCTGCCGCCACGCTTCGCCGTGGCATTTGCATTTTCGTGGGCGTGATAGCATGGCTACGATGGCGAGGTAAAGGCAGCGTGTTGAGATGACGACAAGGGGGTGATCGAATGGTTTGTCTGTCCTCTAGACCGTCCCCGAAGCGCAGAGTGTCGAAGGCTGGCTTCGAAGACGCATCGGCCATGAGCCAGTTCCTCGACACGTTTAGCGCAACCAACAGCCCCAAGCGCCACAACGGCGGCAACTTGTCATATGACGACCCGCCGCCCTTCCCCAAGAGCGTGAGCTTACTGCGACAAGGTAAGGTGCTGTCAGTTGTGGTGCATGTCGCCTCATCAGAACGTGGTTTAGTGCCATTCAAGATTCTCATTCCGGAGAACACGCCCCTGTCGTGCGAAAAGAGCAGCTTAGACGCACTCTTTCCAGGCGGTCTGACCCCCAAACACGACCCTCGAGTCGAAGGCAGCAGCAGCGCAAAACCAAACGTCGACAGCTTCTTTCCCACGTCGACTGGCCACACTCCGAAGTCCCAGCTACATGGCCACAACCAACAACGAAACCAAATTCCAGCTAGCAACCAGTCACCGTCTACGAGCCCGCGATCCACATCTTCGAGCGATAGCGCTGGACCCCACGATGCATCGCAAGTGTGTGACTTCGACGACTTGAGTGACGATGGTTTGGACTTTCTCACGCCACCCCCCGACCTGCACGGGGTGTCCTCGGTCGACACCGTCAACAACAATTTCAATGCTGCGATGTGTACACCAACGCCGATCCAGGAAATGTTCGGATTGGATGCAACCGTCGGCATGATAGGGTACCCTCGCCCGATGTTGGTGCACCATGCTCATCCAGCACCTTCCCACAACATGACAGCTCAGCAGCAGATGCAGCGCTACGGGCAGCACCAGCATGCGTCAGGAGCGTCAACGGGCGTGTATTCCCCACTGTTTGACCCGGCTGCGATTGCAGCCTCGTTGATGGGACCAGGCGACAGAGCCGGGTTCGTGCATTCGGGCAGCTGGTGCGAGAAGGAAGATAAGTTGTTGCGCAAGTCAGTCAAGAACTTGGGGACGAAAAATTGGAAGCAGGTCGCGATGGTGCTCGGCACGGGCAAGACAGACATGCAGTGCTTGCACCGGTGGAACAAGGTGCTCAAGCCTGGTTTGCTCAAAGGCGCGTGGAGCGCCGAGGAAGACGACGTGCTTCGGACCCTCATGACCAAGTATGGCGTCGGCAACATTCGATGGGCCGACGTGGCCAACCACATTCAAGGCCGCACCGGCAAACAGTGCCGCGAGCGATGGCGCAACTGCCTCAGCCCGGACATCAACAAAGGCGAATGGACCAATGTCGAGGACGAAGTCATGTTTCGAGCGCAGCAGCGTATGGGCAACCGATGGAGTGAGATCGCCAAGCTCCTGCCCGGCCGGACTGAAAACGCAATCAAGAATCGGTGGAACTCGAGCGCACGAAAAAACTGGTTCTCCAAGCAGAGCGGTCCGTCCATCGCAACAAACCAACAACACGACGACAGCGTCGGTGACGACGCCATCGAAGTCAAGTCGGAGAGCGCCATGAGCCACTTCAAGATGGCCGACATGGCAAACGCCGTGGAGCTCAGCCGACTTCGGTCGCGGAGCTACTCGGAAGACAGCACGTTGTCTGAAAGCTGTATCGGAAGCAGCGTCGACGACCTCGACCTGCTAGATGACGACGAGTTTGGCGACTCGTTTCTCGACCAGCTGAGTCCGTCCAAAGGTTTGCTCGACGACGACTTGAGTTTGCTCCTGGACACGGTCGCCAAGGACTTTGACACCACGACAGCATGACCGCACACGATGCTACCGCTTCCTCGACGGAGCCAGTCCCTCCACCCATCCTGTTTGAAGTAAAAATTTATTAAGTTGCCACCCAACATCCAAAGAGGAGATGGCTTCGTCATAAACGTAAGGTGAGCTGGGCGAGATCGTTGCGCCGTGCCTCGGTCGCGTCTTGCCCGCCAAAGTACATGAGCGCGTTGTCGGACGTGAGCACGCCGACGTGGCCCACGCGCTCCATCCCGGCCGCGTCCTCCATGTGCACGCGGCGCCATTCCCACGAATCTACCACATGAGTTGGTGCAATGTTCGAACGAGAGGATAATGCTGCACGTACCAGTGTCCAACGCAAAGATGTCGCCGTAGAGCTGTACCTTGTCTGCGTTCTGTGAAGCCGAACGCGTGAGTTTGAAATATGCAGGCAAGGTGTACCTGGGGATCCCACCCGCCGTGCACGACGACCGTCCGATGGTCCAAAGCGATGGCAACTTGGCCAGTACGAGCGTTGGGGCCATTTCCAACCACACACGGGTTGAACCACGTCCACGAATCTGACACAAGTGTAAACGATCGTCGTCATGGACTCGTACGCGTCTACCATCTTGGCTGTTGTGCTCGAGAACGTGCACAGAATTGTAGCTCTTCTTGGCATCGTTGCCGCCAAAGATAATCACGCGATTGCTCCCGACCGCGACGGCGCTATGGTATGTCCGCGATGTCGGCGCTTTCCCGTTCACTTTGAGGTTGGTCCAGTTCCACGTGTCTACCAACGCGACACCGTGAGTCGCTGAATCCAACAATGGATGGCGTGTATACTCGTATTCAAAACGTGCACTGTCGTCGGACGATTGCGGCCGCGGCTTCCTCCAAACACAAGGACGTCCGTGCCCAGGACAGTGAGGGAATGGCCACTGCGGGCCAACGGCGGCGTGCCGCTCACTGCGGGAGGGTACCACAGAAAACACTCTGGACATGGTGTCAGTCATGGATGAACGTTCCTGCTGCTGACCTGTGTCGAGGACCATCAAATCGGACAGACACTCGTGGCTTCCATCCACGACACGCTCGCCACCAAACACCAGCATCAGGTTCTTGGCTGCCACGTACACGGACGCGTGGAACGACCGCGGAATGCTCTCACAGTTGAGCGGACAAGACCACTCGGCCTTGGCGACGTCGTACACAAACAAATCTGCTAGAGTCGACTCGTCATCGCCTTCGCCGCCATACACGACAACGCGGTGGTTGGATATCATCGTGGCAGTGCAGCCCCAACGTTGACTTGGCGGGACTCCTGTCGGCTCGAGAATCTTCCACTCGCCTACGTCATCACAAAGCCCAGTGTTCACACAAACGACAGATTCAAAACGTTCCCACACCGCCTGGAATGTGCATGTTTGGTCGATTCGCGGCCACTGGTGAACTGGGCGACACGTCGACGACGCTGTCCGGAGAGGAGGGGACGTCGACGTCCATGGTGTCCTGCGTGCGCGGTGTCGAAGCAGCGGCGACGGGGTCTTTTGGAGCGAAAAAGTTGAGCTTGGCGGTTGGTGGGTTGCTCGTTGTCAAGGTTGCGTGTTTGGTCTTTGCCGCTTTCTTGATACGCTTGGCTGAATGGGCCTTTGGCTGTTTCTTGGTTCGACTGTTCACGTCGTCGTCTGGCACATCTAATTGCTTGAGGGGAGCGCGCTTCGTCTCGACGACTGGTTGGGGCTTCTTGACGGGGACGCTGGCTTCTCGTTGAGTCAGGAGGAGTTCGAGCTCATCTTCCGATCCATAGATGTTTTCCTTTTCGCTCTCAAGAAACTGCATGGCTTTGCTCAAGCTGGGCTGGTGAAGTTTGTCGTCGGGGCTGATGATCTGGTCGAGCTTTTGGCGCTTGACATCTTCGTACACCATGATGGGGGTTTCAACTAACGACACGGCGCGCTTCTTGGCTCCGGCAAACTTGGGTGCCACTGGCGTCGAGTACGCGTCCGCTGTGGCCATCACTGGGGATGGCATTTGCGGTCGTGGTTCGACGGCAACAGGTTTGGACAATGCAAACTTGCCGGTAAAGTTGGTGCAGTCCACGACGAGCTGGCCACCTTCAAAGAAGAAACGGAGGCCTTCCACCGTGGGCACATCCACGTCCACACCTACGAAATCGGTCATGAAGTTCTGCCTTTCATGGATGCATCGCTAGACAATTGCACCTTCGAACGAGATCAGCGGCATCGCCAAGACAGATTTCAAATGGCGGGTCCGATTTGCCACGCAAAACGAACTTTCCCGCTGCTTTTGATGGAGATTTTCCGGATACCGGATATCCGAGACAATATCCGGATAACCTTGCGTTTTAGCATTGCCGCAGGCTACCATGGACGCGACTGCGCCAGGAAGGAAATGCGAAAACTAGAGCGCTAGCGCTTCGTAGCGGTATTAGAGGCGGTGGCCGCCACGTACGTAGGACCACCATGGCGGTGTCCATGCGAGATTGTTTGGTTGAAAATTTCGACCAGGTTCGAATTTTGATGAAACCGTGGCTTGGATCTTGGAGCAAAAGCGCCGGCCGTCGACACAAGGCAGACATCATCTTGGGTTGGCATGGCATTGACGTCGCAGCAACGTCATCATGTGTTCGCGAATGGCGTCGTCACGCCTGGCGCGCTTCCAAACATTGGCCATTCGCGGAGCTGGGCGGCTGGCACTCCGACAACTCGACCATTGCCGACCCCCGACAACGACACAGACGGAGAAGAAGCTTGGGAAAACGATTTCAACTTTGACGCGTTGCCCGATACACCGGTTTCCATACCAAGAGAGCAAAGCCCGATGAACGCGATGTCGCGGGTCGCTGTCGAGCGGCTCGCGCTGAATTTTCGGCTGGTGGACATTCTCGGCAGGGCGTATGTGGCGATCAACGGTACGATCTTCATGCACAGTATGTGCACAGGGTTTTACCGCTCTTGTCATGCCGTGCAGAGCTCGTCGACGAGGCCGTCAAGGTCAAGGAAGTGAGCAGTCAGTTCAAGAAGGACGGCAGCAACCCCTTGGACGACGGCGACAACCCGGGCGGCTGTGCATGGTTGGTACGTGCATGCAATTCTTTGCGACTCTCTTCAATCTGGCACTATGACGAACAGGACCAAGTGCTACAGCTCCTCGTTGAGTGCTGCTTGCATGGATTCCGACCCGAGGCTCCGTCGACTGTGGGCGACCAGTTTGATCGAGTCTCGCAGCTCATGCGTCAGCCTAGTCCTTCCAACCACATCCCGCGGCACATGCTCACGATAGTCAAGCTCTGGCTCGAAATCGAAAAGTACGCGCTATACCCAGTCCACGAGAAGGACCAGTGTTACCATGCAGTCTCGTCGGCCGTTGCCAGCGCGGTCTTGCATATGAAGCTCATGGACGAGACTCCCAAGAACAATCCGCATTTTGCCTTGACTGTCGTCGCGCTCAACGAAATGAACGATGCCACGTCGTCAAAGTGCTACGGCGCGTCGCCGACGAAGTCCCAGCCGCCGCTGCCCAAGTACCTGTCCGACGCATCCATATGCCCGTCGAAACCGACCCAGCAACTCGAAGCGGTGCTCATCGTGCGCCTTGCCTTGCTTAGCGTTGTTCTCATGGCGTACAAAGACCACAGTCGACGGCACTTGCCCCTGCCGCTGGTGTCGTACCTTACGCTGTGCACGGCGCACCTACTCCTTCTGACGCTGGAGATTCCCTTGGCCATGGACTACGCCTGTCTTACGACCAAGATCGCAGCTTACTTGACGCGCGACGACATCGTGTTGGAGCGCGCCAAGGCGGTGCTGTGCCAAGCGCAGACAGACTTGCAGTCGCTCCATGAAGAGGACAAGGACTGGGCAGAATTCGACGAGCACGAGCGGTCCCAGCGCATGTTCTCCGTCGACTGGACCGCCGAAAAACGTCCGTTGACCGCCACCGACGGCCGTCAACACGAAATCCTTTCCCCCCAGACCGAAGGCAATCCCGTTCAAGTCCGTGACGACGGTGGCGCGTCCGACGACAGCTCCGACTGGGACGCCGACGATGACGTGAAGAAGACGTCGTCGGGCCCAGCCAAAGGTGGCGCGGGGTTGCAGCACCCAAGCGTGAGCGCGTCGTCGCTATCGACCGTGCTCAACCTGCGCGACCTATTTGTCCCGACGAAACAAGCCAAGACCACGTCGTGGCACATGATGCTGACCCAGGTCATGCAACACCCTCCGTTGGACACGGCACCTCGGCTCCCACCGCCGTCCTCTCCGTACTCGAGGTCGTTTGCAGCATTCGAGACCAGTCATGTCCTCAACAACTCTTGGCAATCGACGCGGTCGATGGACCAGTGGCTTCGGGACTTGGCGTGTTTGCCGGCCAACGATGACGACAACACTCGTTCTATCCTTTGTCTCAACACGCCAGACGCCATCGTCGCCCACTTGCATTCAACAACGTCCAAGTATACGCAAGAATGGCTCGATCGGTACGATGTCGTGTGCCGGCGAGCGGCTGCGTCCGCGCCGGCCATCTGCCTTCAGTTGGTGCAGTCCTTCTTCACAGACATCGCCACTGCGCTCAAATGTGAGCGAAACACGAGCGCAAGGTGGACCTCTGCGGCCTCCTCGCAGTTGTTGGACGCTGGTCTTCGATGGTGTTGTTTGGTGGCCGAAGGCAACGCACCCTCGCCCATCGTGAACGAGTTCTTGGCCGTGCTGCGTGCGCTGACGGGTTCACAGACCCCCGCATTTGCGTCGTTTGGGATGCTTGGCAATCTTCGCTGCGCGCTGGTTGAGATCGAAGTGCGAGTCCATTACAGTCTCATGTCGGAAGATGACTTTATGGACCCGTCCTCGTCGTGGCAAGCGCTCTTTGACGCCCTGCGCGATGCGTCGACTCGGTTGCATGCCCACGAGGTGGCATGTCGTGCTGGGATGACGGCTCAACCTGACGATGACGACGAAGCCATCGTGTCGGACATCCTTGAGCTCAGCATGCACGTGCTTGTCATTGCCCACGCATTGTGGAGCGGGATCTCGCCGTTGTCTTTGAAGAGATTCGCAAAGATTCCCTTGCTTCCACCAGCGAGTCCCGATGCTGACGTGGCCGAGCTCGAGAAGTTGGCCGGGGTGGCCGAGATTCTCGACCACTTTGCAGACCGTCCGCTGGCTGTGTCGCCAGGGGCCACGTGGCGTCGTCTCAAGCTATTGTATCCCTTGCTGCCGCTGACGTCCCGCACTCGAGTTCGCGCCGGCATGATCATGGGCATGTCGCTGTGGGCAACCTCGCAGCAGCACGTTCATGATGCCGAAAGCATCTTGTACGAGTCCATCTATGTCTTGCACACTCACTTTTCGCTGCACTCGTCGGAAGGGATCTCGGCGCTCACGATGTTTGGCGATGCGCTCTTGGCAGTCGACAAATACGCGTTTGCCACGGCTGCATTTGAAACCGCGTGCGAGATTGCGCACCGCCTCGACGCGACAGCGTGCGCAATCGAATTGGAGCGGAAGCTGGCGGTGCTGTGCAGCGACCACGGGGACGTCGACCGGAGCATTCGGTACTACAAGCAGATTCGGGCGCGGAGCCTGGCGCAACACGTGTGGTTCGAGTACGTCTACGTCACGGTTACGATGGCGTGCCTTTTCATGGACACAGGTGAGTACGCGGCGGCGGCGCACGACATCCAATCCGTCCTGCAGCAAATGCAGCACCTCACAACGTACGATTCGGATGTTGTCGCGGAGCTCCACGTGTTGTCGATTCGGCTGAGCATCTGCCATCTGAAGTTACATCGCCCCCATCACGCGATCTCGGCGCTGGAGCTGTGCATTCAGCGCTTTCAACCGAAAGCGGCCAAGCATGCGGTCATCCTCATGTGGCTCGCCATTTGCTACTACAAGGCAAACCAACTACCCCACTGCCAAGCGACCCTGAAGGCCGTCGCAAAGCTGCGGAAAAGGGACAAGGAGGGCCATGGATCGACCAGTGTCCACCATGGCGGGTCCTTTGCAAAGCTGCCACCGCCGTTCAAGTACTCGATTCCCGTGGAAACGTTGCCACACGCGTCGATGGCGGCAGACTTGTACCCCGTGCATGCAAAGGTAGCTCTCAAACTGAACGACTTTGAGCGCGCCGCCCACTTCTCCGCCCTCTCGATTGTGTACTTGGAGCTTCAGCCCATGTCGGCGACCGTGCTGACCCAGTTGGCGCATGTGTATTACCTTCGTGGCAAAGTGCTCGACGCGGCGGCAAACGCGCCGTGGCTCTTTCCCATGAAGCTTCAGAGTCTGGAATGCGAACAGCTCCTGCCGACGCAACCCACCCGGTCCCTGCATCGACGCAAGAGTGCTGTGCTCGTGCGCGACCGTGTCCTTATGTCGTTGGACGAATGTACGTGCTTTGGCCCTCGCCAGCACCACTCGACGCGTTCCTGTAGGCATGTATCACAGCTTGCGGGCGTTCCACCACAGCTACGAACTGTACAGCAGCGACGACGACAAAGTCGGGAGGATGAAAGCCGCTTGCCGCCTCGCGGCCGTGTACTTGCACAAGGCATTCCTTCCGCGGCTCGTGCTGCGTCGGCCGTTGGACCAGCTCATGAAGTTCTCGCTCACGCGCCGACAAAACGCGACCGCGTCGTCGCAGGATATCAAGGCAAGCGCCGCCGCTTGCACGGTCGACTTTGAGTTCTCCCTGACCGACATCGAAAACCCGACAAGGTTTGTGTGCGAGTCGAGCGCTGTTGCGATGGCGCCGCAACTGTACGTGGACGCATGTCTCAATATGTGCCAGCTCCACTGCCTGCGGGACAAAGGGGCAGACGCGTTGGGCTACTGGTACGAAGCGCGCGACGTGTTTCTCAACTGCGTTCTGTGCCCGTCGGCGTCGTCGATGCAGCGGTGCCTACGCCGTTTGGTCATAACCCTGCTCACGTTTGAATCGTCCGTCGTCAACGAAAACGTCGTGTTGCTGGACCTCCTAACGACGCCGTGGCCGTTGTGGCAGGATGCCTCGTGTCTCAAACACACGGGGCGGCGCGCATGTGTCATGGACCCAGAAACCAGCACGACCTACCAGACAAAGCTGCGGGAAAAGCCTCCTGCACTACATGGCGCTGGCGGACACCAGCGCCACAAATCCGACACGTTGGAGCTCCTCGCGACCAAGCGCCTGCATGTCGGAGGCAGCACGCAGCCTTTGGCAACGTCGCGCGCATCAGACACGACGAGAATGGCGCCTCCGTTGCAGGTATGCCGTGCCTTGGAAGAACACCTCCTTGAGAATGCAAATGGATCACGTAGGACGGCGGCGTCAAGGCCATGAAGTCGGCAGCCTGTCGACCTGTGCAAGGCGCCACCACTCTTGAAACGATCCACAGCAGCTTCGCCATGTTGAAGCACCTTCAAAGTACGTTTGCCATGCACCAGGACGACGATAGCAATGCAAAGAGACGCCTTGTCATGCGGCATATTTGGGACCACATGGACGAGTTCCGCGGCAACTGCTCCCTGCCTCTGTGGCTGTCGTCGGTGGGCTACGACAACACGTCGATGGCGACGGTCGTGTACGCACTGGAAATTATCCCAGCGTCGATCCTGGCGACGTATGTGCCGTCGTCGGGACGTATCGAGTGGAAATGGATCGACCCCCCCAATCAACTGACGCTTTTGTCTGCCACGGGCATTGCCCAACCCCCGCCATTGTCGCCCCTTCGCCGCTTCCACATCGACGAGAGTAAAGCGTTGCCAGCGCCCTTGTCGGCGGCAGTCCTTCCCGAACTCTTTACCATCTCTGGAGGCGGCGACATCAAGCAGCACGCACGAAACCGGTGCATGTTTCGTCGAGAATTCTCGTCCAGGCTGACGTTGGTCGACGCGACGGATTCCATGGCCAACAGCGACGGACCACCTCAGAACGACGCAAATCGTGGCGTCAGCAACGCATGCTCCACCACGCAATACTCGCTCGTTTGTAGCGCTGCGTTGCAAAGTTTGCCGTGGGAATACTTGCGTGGCGCGTCCATCGTCCGACGGCCAACTGCCTTTGTCACAAACAAGGCGCCATCTCCACTGGACCAACGGCCCGTGCATTTCCGCATTTGCCGCATCAAGACGCGGTACCTGCACTCGACGGAAGTGCTGTCGCCGTGGTGGTCTGTGCTGGGGTACGCAGCCACGGTATCGTTGACGCAAAAGAAGGGAAAGTTTTCCAAAAAGGTGGCGGTCGTCGAAAAGACGTCGGGGCCCGGGCAGAGTGCGTCGAACTCACGTGGTGCTGACCTCGTCCCTGTGGTTGACATCGTGTTGGCATCGTTGCTCGAACTGAATGGAGCGACGTCGTGGATATGCCCGTCGCCCACGCGCCTCTACGTCTTGGCCCCGCCACAAGTGCTGCCCCTTCTGTCCAAAGCCATGCTGGCATCCTTGCCGCAGCTCAAGAAACCATCGCTCTTTGCCAAACGACGGGCACAGCCATCCGTTGTGACCGCGGCGTCTGTCCTCGAGTGCGTGCATCGTGTGGTCAAGTCCTTCCAAACGCAGTACGACGTGCCTGTCGTCGTGTACAGCTCGCATCCATGGTGACGCGCACACCGGTGCGCTTTGAATCATCCGTCGGCCATCGGTAGTTGGGGTGCTCCTTGCGCCAGGTGGAAGCATTGCGTCCGACGAATAGAGCTGTTCAACCGAGTTGCAGATAAATATCAATCGGAGTGTGTCGGGCGCTGAATGTATGCCGAGTGCGAGCGCTCCAACATGAATCGCTACGGTCCATCCACCGAGTGTGTCAACCCCTCAAGATATTTGATCTCGACAAACGTCAATTCGTGTGCACTGGTCTCGATGTGGCTTGTTTCTAGCATCCATGGCCATGGATCGAAGCAACCACCAGCAGCGAGTACGTCGGGGCGACTTTACCGTTGGCCAAAGAGCCGCAACAGTTGAAAAAATCGAAAGCAAGTGCATGACAGCAGGACAAAATTCGTCTGTGGTTTGAGAGAGGAACGGCAGGCATGGAATTCAACTTACGCGCCGACTGACGTGAGTGTGCTCGATGGCGCGACGAAGCGAATGGCTCCCACTTGGCTGACGACGCGCCATGTCTACACATGGGACGTGTCCTGTAGCGTCCGGAACGATTCGTTCGACGCGGCCATCTCGAGCGCTTGTCCCGATGGCGGCGTCGGTGGTGGTGCGGCGTGCCATGGATTCCTGTCCCGCGTAGAGCAGGTACCCGTGGAATCGTCGTGCGCTTCGGCATCACCATGCGGGCGGTCCACGGGTTGTTCCAAAGACTTGCGCGGCGCAAGGAACGTATCCATCGTGTAAATGACCAATCCAGCCCAGACCTGGGCAAACCCCACGGCTTTGGTCGCTTCAAATGGCTCGTGGTACAAGAAAATACCGACGAGAACGTTCAGCGTCGGCCCGATGAACTGTAGCAGTCCCATGATCGTCATCGGGATGTGCTTGATGGCGGTCGTGAAGAGCAGTTGCGGCGAGATTGTGAGGACTCCAAGGCCGACCATGAGGAAGTCGTTGCCAACGCCAGTGTGACCAAACGCCCCCACCCCGCGACCTTCTTCGACAAACAAGTAGATCCAGCACGGCACCGACAAGTACGCAAACTCGATCGCGATCCCTTGGATGGACTTGAGCGGCGCCTTCTTCGCCATGAGTGCATAAAACCCAAAGTCAAACGCCAGGACGAGCGCAATCCACGGGAACTTTCCATACAAGAACGTGACTGTGGCAACGCCGCAGACTGCGAGAATCACGGCGGCCCATTGCCACAACCGAAGCTTCTCGCGAAGGACGACTACGCCAAGGAACACGCTGACGAGGGGACTCATAAAGTACCCGAGGCTCATTTCGACGATGTAGCCTGCGTTCGTCGCCCAAATGCTCACAAATAGATTCACTCCCAGAAGCGTGCCGGACAGCATGTAGAAACGAAGGACGGACCACGTGCGGGCCGCCGTCCACGTCGTCCGTGCCACGCTGTTGACGTAGAGCACGGCGACTGCGATAGGGAACGCCCATACAATGCGATGACACAGCAATTGCATGGCCGGGATCGACGTGAGCTGCTTCCAGTAGATCGCACTGCATCCCCAGATCACGTATGCAATGAAGCCGAACGCGATACCGACATGGAACTGCTGCATCTTCACGGAGAACGTTGCGCTGATTCGAAACGTTGCGATGTGGGACAAACCTTGTTGGGACATGTGGGCTATTGCAGCAATCCCGCGCTCCACGAGCAAGTTGGCATGCAATGGGCGCAGACATAGCGCTGCCGTCGCGGCTGGACACTCCCTGGAGCAAGGTTGCGTGAATCGGCCATGAGGGTGGTCGTCGCAGGGCGTAGTCGATCCCATTCTTCCTGTTGATTGGGACAAACATCAAACTGCTCTGCCCTTTTATAACAGGACGACGGCTCGAACGAATCTTCCAAGCACACAAACCTTTGGTGCTTGCAAAATGGTCGATCGTTCCAAGAGACGGCGACGGGGGCAAGCCAGTGATGAGGGGATGGCGTGCTTATCGCTGGATCCTGGACTATGTGGTGCTCGCAGTGGAATCGCTTCCCACCGCATCAGAACCGGTCAAGGGGTCGTTTCGTCACCACGACGAGCTCGTATCTGCCATTATATTCATACTTGCAGGCGATGCCCGCGTGGTGCTTCGATTGAGCTCCAGGACGCTGCGACGGCATGCTGCTTCTCCGACGTACACACTGTTGGACAGGTGAGTCAAGCGTCAACAAAGCCTGGTCGAGGTTGGTCCGAAGATGTCCCAGACTATCCCATGAGACGTCCGAAGGTGCAGCATCCACGGGATCTCGTCCATGTTCATCATTCTTCCAGGATGATTCGAAGAGGGCATCCGATAGCACGATCTTGGATTGAGGCCCATACATTGTCGGCATGCCGTTTGTTCGCACTTTCAAACGATGACCGTCCTCCCCATACACAGTGCGTTCGCATCGTTCTACGTCAAACAATCCACTCGTATTATCCCCGGTCATGTAACATGATGCGCCAGAGCGCATGATCACCGCCCCGTGACTGGAATTGCTGGTGATCGTGGGAGCACTGGATGAGGGCAAAGAGAATACATCCGATGTCGTGAAAAGATGACGATTTCCGCCCCGTGCGTCGTGCGCCAAGTCGATCTGTGCTGGATCCAGTCGTGTCCCTTTGATCCGCGCTTGTCGGCAATTCGCGCCCCAAATTTCCGCACGTGTTGTAGATTTCCCATTGACCAGATCTTCCTTCACGACCCTGACGACCCTCTCGTGGTCATTCGGTCCGAGCCACGAGCGAGCGCATTTTCGATTGCTCCACGAGTAGCACTCGTTCGCCTTGAAAATCACACTTCTCTGCCAACAATTTGGAGCTTGCCGCGGTCACGGTGCGATAATTTCCCAGATCATTTGGCTCACGACTCGCAGATATTCAGGCGGCATCCATGCCAGCAATTTCACAGTTTGAACTCGCCCTTGTCATGGATCACTGCCGCTGCCATACGTCGGACCACGTATTTTGAATTCGACCAGAAAATCAGCCAACGTGGACAATTTCGGCCCCCTTTCAATCCAAGGTCATCAACACGATCCGATCCACTCGAGTGTTGGGCTCATGAACAGCGCGTTGAATGCTTGTTGGCTTCGCCCGTTCAAGTCGTTCAATGGGGCTGAGGATTCTTACCAAACAACTTTCGGTACGATTCCTCAGGGCTCTTGCACCGCCCAGCTCGTTAAAACGAATCCATCACCGACCACCACTCCATGCCAAATACTTGAACAATATCTTTTCATGCTTAACGTCGCGGCGAACCACACCCGCCACATTTCAACATTATCGTTTGTTAGAGTCGAAGCAGACATAGTAGACATGATCGATGATTTCACGCTCGTCTGTTTTGGGCGCACAACATGTTCCAAAGGTCACACAGGTCGTTTGCGCAGGCAGAAGGACAAACAAAGCGTGAATTACATAGGAACAATGTAAGGATGCCTTGGAATGAAGTTGAATACACTGGTCTCAATACCGCGCACTCTAATGGAGCTCCCAGAGCTCCACATCACGTTCCACGGCTTGGAATTGTCATGGGGATGCTCTGTGCGAAGAGTTTTTCACCCGCAACTATTTGGCCAATCAGAGGTCACCTGGTTTTGTGGCCAATCAACAGCCTTCCCTTGATGCCCCAGCCAATCAGACGCCGCCATCGCATAGCTAGTGCACGAGTG